ATCTAAGGTTCTGGTACCTTTAAAGTTCTATGTAACACTTCTAAACTGAACTGTTACTAGTAGAATACCTTTACACAATGCAATTTAAACGATTTATATTAAAATAAATTATTAACTGTTTATTTAAAAAAAAACATGAAACTGTGTTTACTATGAACATCTTAAAACAAAATAGGAACATAGTTTGGCGCATCTTTGGCTCGGGGGAATGTATCAAACAAAGAGTGACATATTTATATAATGATTTATATTGATAGATTTATATCACAAATGGAGGCGAAGAAATTTATATTTCTTTTTAATCAGTTGATCATAGAATATATGATATATGTATAATGTAGGTTTTTTTGACTTAAGACAGCGAGAATTGTAATACGCGTAACAACCTAATCTGCACGATAAGAATTAATAGCATTTGTAAAATTACTATAAATATTATGTTAAGGAAAAACATAAACAGACATGTAAACATTTAGAGAAAAGAAATTATACTATAAAAATAAAAGACAATAAACTAGTTTAAGAAATACAAATATGCAATTTAATATATTTCTACTTTGCAATTGTTATTATTGGTGACGGATCAACAGTGGCTGCAGCATCTTACGCCTGAAGACATGGGACTGTCATTAAATAGATCTGCTTCACATATACTCAGGGCGTCGTTCAAAGCCGATAGAGATCTGTTTAGAGGAGCATTACAACCGACGTTGGTCCTCGCTGCCCGAAAGTAACAAAGGACTGATGTGTTTCTTGTGTTTCTCTTTAGAGGAAATTAACTTGACTTAAAACGTTTGGTATATCTACCAATTACTGAATTTAATTTTGTAAACAAAGATAATGTCAATCAGGCGGCGTCTATCGCCGAGTGATTGCAAGTGAAAGAAAGCCAGTCTTTTTTCATACTCGCATTTATAGCTAATGCTATTACTTAAATGGCATAGATGTTTGGAGAAATGGCGGTTAACTCGTTCGACTCTGTCAACATGGACAGAATAGTAGTGGTAGTGTATGTTAGATTTAATTAATATTTAGTCGAATTCTTCAATTCAAGAATTATTAGGTACATTTATTACATATACAAGAAGTAAATGAGTATTGAATAAAAGAGGTAAATATTAAATTGTTCCTTAACTAGTCTTATAACACAACGAAGACATTTAATACTTACACATATTTACTTACTGCAGTAAATTATAATTTTACCAAACGCCATTGCTTCACTACATTATTTAAGTTTTTGGCGGGACCCATATTAAGTATGAAAATAAACATTAAAACTTTTATTTTAAGCACAATATACTTACAAAATCATAGTCCAACAACTCCACAACAGACAGATAAAATTATTTTTAAAACACTTATTTGTGTACGAAAATACCTACTCGCGAATTCGTAACGACGACGTCGCGCGCCTCCGAACACCGCCGGGCACTGGCCATTGGGATTCGGGAAATATAACATTTCGGACGGACTAGTGATGTGCTGTGCTAGCATGTTTTGTAATAAAATGTATTGAAGTTATACTTCTTGAAAAATTGATGAGAGTGAAATTTTACGATGCGCGCGTTACGCAAAATTATCAGTATGAAGTTAGTGGCGCATGTTGGCACGCACACCGCCTCTGTTTCATTTTGTTTTCATGATACAAGTGCGAATTTTATATGTGCGTCTGAATTATAATCAGAAGTGATTTAAATTGAATATTTATATCAATACTAATTAATATTAGAAAATAATAATAAATATAATATTAATAAATATTTATTTATTTAATTTTTCAAATGTAAACTGAACTTTATTGACTATAATGACTCTTTTTCCAACCTTTGATTATTTAATTGTAATTAATTATTTGCATGCAATCAAAAACTATTTTTAATAATGCCAAAGAAGTATAACTTCTTACGAGCGTACATAAGTACACGCACCCTTTTTTTTATTTGTATATTTGTGTTAAAATGTAAAATATTAATTTAATAGTATCCAATCAGTCGGCAAACATAGGTTTAAAGTTATTCTCATTCAAAGCATACATGTCGCTTACATGAGTACATAATAATATGTTACCGCTGCCGTCGCGTCAACTGCTTTTATTTCCCGCATCTCAGGCAAGCAGTTGTAAAGACTCGCTCCGAGTTCAGTATAAGTTATGATTGTGCGATCGTATTCGGTTTTGAGTTTAGGTAGATTGCAAAGTAAAATTTGTTAGTATGCGTAGGGTAATGAAAAAGGTTTTTAATTTATTTATTTTGTAAATCCTTTAGATGAAACTTAGATATCTATCGATATATAATTGCTCAGCACTTAATCACATCACCTGGAGATAATTCGTAGAAGCACATTGTTTATTTTCGCTCACACTGCCCACTACCACTGATGTTGCCGATATTCAGTCTTTCAATAACTGCCGACTACGAGTCACTACGGTTAACCAACATCTGACGCATATTAATATTTATTTCATCCTCAAGCGAATATTCTGCAAATATGGTGTCTCAGAATGTCTTATGTCTGTAGACGACTTCTCATCTTAAGGCTGTAGTAGCAATGACGAAGAGTCTTCGGATTTCACCTAGGATTAGTAATACACCTTATCATAGAAGATAATATAAGAGATCTTTACCGAGTTAACTGATGCTAAAATAATGTACATAAAACGTCAAACTGTGTAAATAAAAAAATAAATTCACATTTATATAAACTGTTAAAATTTTATTTCAACTACTGGTTGATGTGCTACGTGAATTACCCCGGACGAAGCACCGCTGTTACCGCGTCTGGAGCGAGTGTTCGTGGCGCCGTGTGGCTAATGGGCAATGGCTATGCACAGATCGCGAGTCCTACTTATCCCTCCGCCCCCAACAGTCGCGCCGCGGTTGTATGCGTAATGCATTTCCCCACTTAAAAAAAAGTTATGTGAATACCCAATTATTATCATAATCGCCAATAAGTATCAAATCTCAAGGAATGGTGAGACTATTATTTTGCTTATTCGTCTTTTTAATATTTATTATTAATTAATTTAATCTTTATTAAACAAAACTAGACACTAAAACAACGTCTCCGCTTCGCGCGTTTCTTTATGTGTCAATTTGTGGGATATTGGATAAAGCCAGTTTGTACATACTAGCAATGTTTCTGACTTCATAGAAGATTGTTATCCACGGACGCGACGGGTCTCCGAATCTTTCTCTAACCAATAGACATAGAATTTTCTTAAAATTATTTCGTGATTTTCTTACAATTTCTATGCTTCGTTTTATTTTTCTGAAATAATTATTTTATTGCAGGGAATCCCCTATGGAATAGCAATTAAATAGTTAATAGGTCGTCCTACTATGTCGTTTACGAAGGTATTTGATGGTACTGTAAAATAATAACATATAATTACTTTAAAGTTGCGAAAGAGGAGTGTAGATGGATGATGGATTTTGTCGTTTGGAAATGTAACGCGAAAACTTTGCTTAAATTTAGCATAATTTAATATGTAGCCTATTATTGTTTTAAAACTTTAAACCTTCGTTTGTTATTTAAACATAATAATACTATAACGTCTAGTTTTATCAGGTATTATGTGTACAAGTACAGCACGTTATCTTCGCTGTCCAGTATGATGGTGAGTTGTTATTACTTATTACTGGTTGAGCTCGGTCAAGGTGACGCATACGGCATACCCAGTAAATCGGCGTTCGCGCATAGACTTATGTCCATTATAATTTCAAGATTTACGACTGAGTAGAAAAGTAGGGCCTCAGTTTTACGAAAACATTCTAAATAACCACCACCAAACTAGCTATTTCTAAAATGTTTGAATATTCAGAAACGTTGACGACAAGCTCAACAAAATCCAGAATCCATGTTACAATATTTTGATACTTGATGTTGGGGTAGGAAGTTTAAAATGATCAAAAGTGATCGGTTGTTCAGACAAAATCGCGGGCAACTGTTAGTAAATGCCCGATACGTACAATGGAAACTTACATACTCATATAAATAGCCAATACACATTGAAGCACTTTACGTAATTCTTATCAAAACGAGATAAAGTCGCTTTTGAGATAACACACACGTATTGTGTCCAATAGAAGTTTGTAAATAATTTGCATTTGTTTAGTCGATCAGTGTATCGCCATTAAATTAGTGATTCGGTGCTATTTCATGAGGTAGAACCTGTTTCTGTCAACTTATTTCTTTCAAAGTTTTGTTTAAAACTAAACAGAAACCTATTCAACGATGTAATGACTTGACGACTCACTGTGCGAATAACAGCTAACATAATCTAAGTTTTGTTTTAGGATAATAATTTCAAATGGTTTAATAATGTACTTATAGCTCTTAAACTAAAAAAAATATTGTCGAAAAATTTGGGTATTTAAGTATTTTTAACCATGTTTGTTTACTTGATATAAACATAGTTCCAATATTTATCTGGGCATCGTAAGGCAAGTAGTTTCACTTTAAGAAATAAATAAAACTTTATTTCAATATGTTACATATTATGTACATTTGAATAGTGGGTATGTTCTCCTAAAGACCATTCGACTATCCCATCGATTTGGACACACCTTATGAATTGATGTGTAAACTTACGAGAGAATCCCATGATAATGTTGTGGTGATCCTGGAGACCGTGGACGTTTTTCAAATGTTCGTACAATTGAAGGCTTTTTCTTAAGTGACTCGTAAGTAAATATGTTTTTGGAAAGCCTTTAGTGCGCTTCTCGAGGGTAGTAGTGTTCTACAAACTACCTCTACTTTGACAAGTCTAGTTTATGAGTGATTAAATTGTGGATATTTGATATGACATTATAATAGATGGTGTTGGTGACTTCGTTCGCACAAAAGTTCAGTCCAGCTAACCATCAACATGTTGGTAGTGTGGTTCACTTAATCGTAATTCCACCACCACCACAACTCGCAGTAAATTCCGGGTAAATTCCAATATAATGCTGTAACTAAACCTTTACTCTGAAATATTTTTTCGACTCTCTCTCAGGATGAATTGGAAGCGACCTGCGTCGTTTCCAGTGGGACAAGTTTGGAGCAGGTTTCAGGGAAGAGAGAGAGATGGGAAACCAGCTTGTATGTAAGTTTTTTTAAGGTGTTTCCAAGAAAATAGCGACTTTTACTAGCTACTAATGAGGGAAGAAATTGATTTAGTAGAATAAGCCTGTATCCGGCGGTCTATCTATCTGCAGGTACCAAATTCGTGACATGGATGAAAGGTGGCGGAAGCAGTGTCTGGACATGATGCAGAAGACATTTATTGATGATGAACCACTGTGTCAAATATTGGGTAAAAAGGATAATTACAGAAGTGTTAATTTGTATACGTTATAATATATACGTACATAAACGGTGTACGTTATAAATTAAACTTTTGTTTAATATGTTCCCTGATAGTTGATACATTTTAGGACTGCGCCCTAAACTAATGATTAAGAAAGCTGTTTTATAAAAAGACCTCGTCAATCTTTTAGCATAAATAAGCAACTGGAATATAATTGCTTCGGAAATCTGAGATGCTGTACAAAATATAGCGATATGTTTCAGAGATCGAGAAGGATCCAGCTTCTATACAAACGATCAGGTCCAACTGGGAAGATATAGCAGACCAAGGTCTCTGCATTGCATGCTTTACCGAGGAGCTAGGACAGCCTAAAGACCTGGTGGGTTTTAACATATTGTTGGTGAAGAGCCAGGAAGATGCTGAGGAGAATTTAGATACTGTAAGTAATACCTATAACCATACAAGCAGCCTATAGCGATTGGAATTATAACATAAGTGGAGTTCCAATTGCAGATAAAGGGTGAGCAATGGAAGAAACTGCTGAGGACCCTGACAGTGGCTGAACAGCTTGTGGACGTTTTTGACTTGTACAAGGTAGACCAGATCTTAACTTCCAGTGGATTGACAGTCCTACCTGGGCACCGAGGACAGAACATAGGCGCCAGGATCATTGCGGTTAGGTAAGAGAAAAATCCTTTACTATGTCAGCTGTTCGAAATGTTGAATTTTATCAACAAACCTTTGACAAACGATGCGGAGTATACATTTATACATCTTCATATTTCAGAGAGCAAATATGCAAGACGTTCAACATTTATGGCGTAGCAACGGTATTCACAGCGATCACCTCACAAGTTCTGGCGGCCAAATGTGGCTATCATACCCTGGCTGAGTTAAACTATGAAGACATGAAACCGTTCGGGATCGACCTCACCGGATGCACAACTAAAAGCGCGAAATTAATGGGAATCAAGTATACGCTTTAGAGCAATAATTACGAAAACTTCCTTTTATCTTGTATTTACTTTACTATAATAAGTGTATGCTAAACGATCATCGACAGTTTTTAAATATTAATTATCAGTTAATTTTATATACCTATGCCATTAAATTAAAAAAAAATGTTTAGATATTTTTCTTTCTAATAACTTTTTACCACACATTTAGACTTTAACAATAAATATGAATCTTACCCCAAGATTAACGCAAATAAAAAAACATATTATTTATAAATAACATTTATTGTAAAATCACATAATTGCTTACTTTAATACATTAAAATGCCACAGATCACAAAAGTTACAATATATTTGATATCAAACTTTACATTATATTTTAGCAAAGGCATGTAAACTATATTTTATATGGAATGTCTTTGATGTAACTAACAATTGTTGGAATCTCTAGTCTCCATCAATCAAAGAACCAATGCGTAGTTTTTATTTAAAAAATAAACAAGTTAAATTTCTACACCAATTCACTTGAAAATGGTTGTATTTCTTGAATCCCAATGGTACACAAATTTTGAGTACTATACATACATTTTGTGTCCTATTTCATTTAAATAATATCTCTTCAGACTTCAGCTATGGTTCTCATAAAATAATTCGTATTTCTTTTCTTATTTCTATCTTGAATATATAAATTAAAAAACTTAAAGAATGAGGAAGTGTAATCAAAACATTTTTAAATTTGTTGACTTGAAATTTGATGAAAGTAATACACTACTTACGACTTGATAAATATTTTAAAAATATATGTATATTATTTTATACATATTGGTCAACCATAAACTCAACTGTTAATGATTACTGTTGTATATCTTACATTACCGTTGCAGCTTTTCATGAAGCCACTCATTGGTCAGTTCATCTATCTCTCTCACCTCGAGGAGTCTTGGGGCACCCACGGCCGCAGCCAGAGCTCGTTGAGTACCAGCATACATCACCTGCAACAGATTAACGAAAAATATCTCATTCTGTTATGTATACAATATATATAATAGATCCTCTAGTTAAATAGCAATTAGCACATCTATATGGCATGAGGCAAAGCTGCTTCAGATTACTATTAACTTAAATATATGCCTTTCATTCTTAAAATCTACTTGATAATAATATTAGCAATATACCTGAAGTTCCATGTGGGCGTCTCGAGGGGTATAGAATATAAAACACATAGGAAATGATATTCGTCCATCGCTGTGCTCCATTCTATAACTAAAATTGATAATTTTATAAAATCAACTAATACGATGATTCTGATGATTTGTATGTCAAAATTACCTGTACACAATAAACCGTGGCTGATGTGAAGGCAGGATATCCTGCAGTTCTTCTAACTCAATACTGTCTAGCTCCTCATCTACTTCCAAAGCCTGCTTTTCACGGTTCACCTGGAATTTTTGGTTAATTAGTCCTTAAAATAACTAAAGGAATGTAGTATATATTCTATAAACAAAAATATATAATTTTTGACTATAATGTTACATTATTTAAATATTATAACTACATATTATATAAGCAAAAAGCAAAATAAGACACTATACATTTTTAGTAGCAAGCATCAGATATTCATTACATATGGTAAAATAATAAGTAGTAGTATATACAAAGTCTCTTAAGGAATAGGAAGGAAAAAGTTGTTACATCATGGTATACCCCTTTATATATATAAGGTTAAAAGCAAATAAACAAAGTATCAACAAGAAAAATATCAACATTTATTTTATTCATTCATCACTCTGATAGGAAACAAATTCCTAACTAATTGCTATTGTACAGTAGCAGTGACTCATTAAATAACAAAGGAAAATTGATCTTATTGGCATTATGAATTTTACTATAAGAAATGCAATTATTTTTTACTTTTATTATAAAAAAAATCAATATCATTACTCTGCTTGTACATAAATAGTATATTAATTTATATAGTTAGTTGACCTTGTTGTTTTTGGTTTTTTTGTTTATTTGCATGAAAAACTTTCTAGTCTAATTTTTGAATTTAACCTAAATGCGTAATTATGTACATAATTACGATAAAATTTGGATAAGCTTGAATAAATATAAATTTTACCTTCAAGATCAAAGCACTATTGGATGTGTGCTTTTGAAAACGAAATTTTTTTAGCTTTTCTTTTACATCATCCCCTATATCACACACATTGACGTTTTGGGCCGACATTATTCTGAATCTTTTTCGGTTATTTTTATTTGAAACTATGTAAAATGAATTAGGTAAATATTATCAATAAATTATAACTTCAAAACAATTATTTTGATTGTTGAATGTTGAGTGTTGACTGTTGACATTTGAGCAGGGTTGCCAACTGCTACCACATGCTTTTTTTTTTTTTGATTTTATGACCTGGTGACAGACCTTTAAGTCATGACTTATTTGGAATATGTAATAATATGTATGTTCATTAATTTGGCGACACTAACTTCACTTCACTAAATTTCATCACTTAAATTGATTGAATTGTATTTTTTATGTAATTATAAATAGGTTTATAGGATGTTGGATCTTTTAGTAAAACGTTGAGGAGCGACGGGCGGGAGGAAGAAACACACTTATATGCATTGGTTCACTAGCCAGCACAAGACTTTGAATGAGAAAACTTCGGCAATCAAAAATAATGTGGTGGATCGTTCCTTCATCTGCTTGACAATGATTACATTGATTGTTTGAAACAATCCCAAGTCTTGCTAGGTGTGACGGCGCAATATTATGACCAAATCTCAATCTGTTTATTGTTGTAATGAAATCTCTACTTTTACTAGATTTCAATTTGTCATACCATGGTTTAACAGGTATGTTATCTTGGATACTTCGATACCACTTTCCCTTGTTTTCCTGGTATTTCTTCCACATTTCTGTCCACAGAGTGTAAATGTTTTCCTTAATATTTAGAAAATAATCAGTAAAAGGAACGGATACTGAGTCTGTAACGTCAATACTGTTTATAGCCTCACATGCAGCTTTGTCAGCTTTTTCGTTGCCGGTTATGCCTTTATGTGATGGCATCCACATAAAGGCATACCACATGCTTGTAGCTAGAAATTCAACAGACAATAATTGTTTTAAATTTTTTACTGCTACACTTACATATAATTTGTTCTTTCAAGATTGGACTATTGACAATGTCATATAAATTTGTTATTTCTCAGCTGACCGCCTACGCCTAGGGCTTGACAGTTGACTCTGTGCGTTTGACATAGGCCAAGATGCCCCGATTTCGAATTTCTATTTTCTACCACAGTTTTTATAAACAGTGAAAAATTAATATTAGTTAGTTCTTTTTATTAGAAATATACAAGTTGAACATCAATATATTGTGAATTAAGGCGTTTTATATGTGGTGTACGATTGACTATTGTTTTCATGATATTTCGAAAGTACGTACGGTCTATTCGATTTGTAGTATTCAAACATTTATCGCGAATTCCGATTGTGCTTATGTTTAGAAGTGCCAATACACAGAAATTTAGGACATTGTCGATAAAGGTCAATAGCTTCTCTTTATAGACATTTGTACCATTACAATATGAATAATTAAAATACACTTCTGATTCAAACTAAAACAAGGAACGAACTATTAAATAAAAGTGCTAATCATCAACACAAAAATTGCATCAAAGATATGTTTGACTACACATTATATGACTTAATATGGTACCTAACTAAATTATTATAAATTTACTTTGCAATTTTAAGGAAATCATTTTTATGTACAATAAAATTTGTGTGTGGAACTAAACATAGTTAAGAGAATTATTTTAGACCACTTATCTGAACACTTACAATGTTTGGGCTTAACCTCTTAAGAACTAGTAAACATAGTTATATGCTATGTTTTTTAATGTCAGTCAGTTTGCAGTACCTATATGTCTTCATTATTAAATATAACTTATTTCTACAAAGCTATATTCTGTATTAACTTATTGAATTTCTATTTTGATTAATAAAAATTTCAAAAGCACTTCTATCAGGTACCTAAACTGCATTAGGGAAATAAGTAATCATGAAGTGTTTTTGTCAATTTTATATGCACCATAATTGTATATATTTGTGATATATTTAAGAACCTTAGATTGTAACATACACTGCAGAAAATTGCTATGATGTGTTAATACATAAATTAAACAATCAATATTTAGGTGTTACATATTAAATATTACAAGTGGTTGGCCTGCTCTTTGTTCCAGATTAACTCAGCAACAGATAACATGCGATAATGACAACCGACACTACACTCACTGGTAAGTTGAGTATTATATTTTATATTTGTAATATTATAACTATACTTCCTATTGAGTTTAATTAATTATTGTGATATAGTTCTCAATTCTACCACTGATCTCTATTATAACATTGCAAATATAACAGGTTTTTACAGTAATTATTATATTAATTTATATTTTTGTGAAGTACTCACAAAATATAAATAAATGAATAATAAAAGAAAAATGCTATATGCTTACTAGCTTAATAATGTATGTAAATTTCAGGTGCAACAGCAGAAATGACTGAAAAAGAAAAATCTGGGTAAGTCTTGGGAAAACTATTATCAATATTTATTAAGTGTAATAAAATTTCTTATATAATAAAGCTATAAATAATTATTGCTTTGATTTTAACTAACTAGAAATCAACATAATCTCAAACCTCTATTTCAAAGTATTTGCCCTTTAGTGTCCCATCCGCTAAAAAATCACTGTAATAAAACCAGAATCATCACCAACACTATAACACAAACAATTTCACTGAAAAACTAAATTGTTATTGAGAAAATATATACTTACCACTATAAAGATTCTGCTATATTCAACTTCTTGTATCTTATAAAAGATTGCCCTAAGAGTTTCATAAGTCAAAGTGTAAGTGTCCTTTTCTTCAGAAAATAAACAATAATGCAGAATGTATTAGTAAGAATGAATCTTAAAGGTGTAATAAGGGACTTTTGACTACAATGGATAACTATTAATTATATTTTTAAAGTACTTTTAAAGGCGAGAGTACATAGAGAAGATTAAAATATCTGTACTGTACTAGCGCCACTGAATTTTGAATTCACGCAAAAGAAGTTGTAAACAACAGGTAGCTATTATTATTATTATTATTATTATGAATAATGGTTTCCAAGGGGACAGCCACCAAAATACGCGTCAGACTTTAGCGGATTCAATACTCCTTTCACAATCTAATCTAAACGCTCTAATCAGATGACAGTATACCGAATTGTATCCTATTATTTTTACAATAAAGTACAAATTGTTATAAGTATGCTACAGATACTGCTATTAATGGCTTGATTGGTTCGAAATCGGCTTAGAGATGTGCGCAATATCTAACGATATTTTTGGCATATTATCGAGTTATGTTTATATTTTTAATACAGTCTAAAGCTAATTGAACCATATTTTTACCTAAAGTATTTCAAGGAGATAAATAACCATTAAACATAGAATTATAATATGTAAAAATCATTTAGTAATACTTCTGCATGAGGCAAGGTCTAGCCTCTTGATGTACCAGTTTACGGAAAACGGCTTTATTAAATATGGCAGTGAGAAGCTAGAGGATTGCCTTTCTCACCAAGTAAAACGAACAAAGACACGAACGAGAGTTTATCGACATAACCTTACGACGCTTTCCCCTCCCTACTGCCTCCCATTCACCTTCGCACGGCACTTCTTGCACTCAGTACGGAGAGTGACGTCGTTAAGTGCGTCGCGATTACGCGCGCTTTTTCATAAAAGTGCGTGTTTATAAAAATTCAATACGTTTAGTGGTCGACTGTTTCTTGTTCTTTTGTGAAAAGTGTTTGCAAATGGTAACTAGTAATTTTGTGAAGAGCTTGCTGTGAAAAACTCACTTTTCATAGTTTTAATATTATAACTTAGCAATTGAAAGTTGGAAGTACTTATGTATATTTACAAATCACATGATATTTATTACCAACACACGAATATACAGTATGTACAATATTCTCAACCTACATAGTAATAATAATAATAATTAAAAAGTAACATTAACAAATTAGTTACTGTAATAACTTTAAATTCGATAATTGGTGATCCAATCCAAATAAATAACAAAATAAATACCACTTAGCCCTATTATCAGCGACATGGGTTAGAGCTCTTTCACACATCATATTATCTTAAAGTATCGTTAATGCCGCCTTGGTTTCATTTATTTATTAGAGTAGCCCCCATGCTTATTAATGAAACGATACAAATTAAAAAAAATCTAAACATATATGTTGCTTCAAACAGCTAAAACGTATTTTACACTTCCAATTGCTTGCCTTAAATAACTTATAAAAGTATTTTAATATATACAATAGTAATAAAATATATTTTTGGAAGAATTTAGTATGCTCATTACTATTTATTACTTTATCTATGTCATGAACACTCTTAATCAGTATTAAAAGGCTAAAAGATTAACTTTTTTCTTTCTTTTTGCGTAATCATTTGGAAGTAAGTTAAAAAATTTAGACTCAGTTTTTAGATTTTCAATTAGATTCAAAAAAACATATTCGCATATCAGCAGAATGTACATCTAATAAGATCCTCCAGAATTATAACAAAAGCAATAATTACCCATACCATGTGTATTCGGTACGGGAAAACCGAGTCGGTAGAGTGACGCTGGTTTTGCCAGACGACTGTTATTTCCGAGTACTCTTTTTGCCTTTAGAAACCCTATTTGGTGTATCCGTTCAAAATAGTACGTCATGTTGTTTAAATAAAAAAAAACTATCTTTTTTTGTGGCGCGCGGTGTCGCTGCCTGCCTTTTCAAATGCCAAATGTAGTAGGTGGTTCTAGAAAAGGATTCGTATCGAAATATATCGTCTGCTTAATTTGCTTATAAGCGCCTACCTGCGTTCAAAATTTATACAATTCAAAAGAACTCGTTCTCTATCAACTGTTGTTACTCCTTCGGTTGTCTTTTCCTATTTAATAACTTTTAACATGTTAATATGTTTAACCCTACGTAAACTCAGACCTATAGTCTTAATCAAGTAATTATGTTTGTATCTAAATCACACGATTGTCGACATGATAAGGCACATGCTCCTACAATTGTAAAACAAGCATTAAGATAAGTGTAATACTAATTGGCTTCACCTGTTGAGGCGAACACAACTTAATATGAGCTTCTAGATACCGATCATTGTTTCTGTCTATAAATAGATTTTTCAACGTTAAATACAAAACAACCATAATATAATATATATATATATAATTCCTCGTAATACTAGTATAGATGTTGACAAGTTTGTAAATAAGGGCTACTGATAACGATATCATGCCTGATAAGAGATAAGAATCGTAGGGGACAGAGTTTTGACAAATGAGAATATCTTTGCTATTCCTCGAAATATTCCGAATTTCTCGAAACCGATACAAATGATGTGGCGTGGGCTGCAAAAACTATTGCTCGATTCAAACAAAGATTAAATTCCTATTTATGCACCCATTACAATTTCCCATATTTGGAAATAATTTCACTAGAAGTGTTCTTTGCGAGTGAGCTTTGTTCTAGCAAATACGATATATATATATGGTATAATATACCTTTGTCCCGAATCCCACGGACTTATCACTCATTGTCTCCAAAATATTCCAGCTAATAAAACTATATTGTTAGAGATGTTGGGAATGTTATTGTATTACTAATTACAATTGTATGTTCGTATGTAAATATGTATTCTTTGTGCCCATTCGTTAGGGTTGTCGCGGCTATTTCATTGATTCCTACTTTTTGATGGATCTGTTAATGAACATTATTCTTCATTTAAATATTGCTGCTACGTTTCAATCGTAGCTGTTATAGTTTAAATGGATTTAAAACAACTGAATCTTAGTTGCTAAAAGTGAAAGTCCCTGACGTCACTGTGACCATTTCAACAGTTGCCCGGGCGCACGTTATTTGGCTGCGTTTAATATAAAGTGTATTAGGGTTTTTTATTCTACAAAGGTTTTAAATACTATATTTTAATAAGTCTTCACCAAAAGTCGTTAAATACGGAAAGTAAAATTTAAACATAAATAATTGGTTAAAAATCAAACTTTAACATCATGTTGTTGTACATATTTACTTCCAACATCAGTTTACAGAGTATAGAGTAAATGGAAAAAGCTCCTAGGTAATGGTGTTCCCAAGAGAAGTGTAGTGTAGTAAGTGAGCAAAATGCTGTCCAAAGGCTTTAAATATTCGCGGTTGGACGATGACGATGTTGGGTAAGACTTTTTATATTAATTCCCTCCGTAACCGACCATTACAGTACAAGTTATCTAACTATAACAGTACAATTACACCTACATAGACTCTGATTTTCACGAATTCTATTGATTTCGGGCTCGAAGCTGTCGAAGGGCGGCTAAAAACGGCTGCTAGAAATCAGCTCATATACGCACCATTCGTTAGACATAGACATAACATTTATTACTAACAAAAACACACACAATAACAATAAAAAAATCAGTGGCGCTACCACCTCTTTAGCTCTGGGCCTCAGATTGCTGAATCTGTTTCATGATCATTGGCAAGTTGATCAGCCTCCAGTACCCCTGACACACGCCGTCGACTTTTTGGGTCTAACATGTCGGTTTCCTCACGATGTTTTCCTTCACTGATCGAGCAAATCTTAAATGCGCACATAGAAGGAAAGTCCATTAGTGCACAGCCGGGGATCGAACCTACGACCTCAGGTATGCGAGTCGCACGTTGGAACCACTAGGCCAACACTGCTCTAAGTAACGCAAAATAACAATAATCAAAGAAAACAATAAAATAAAACGTTTTTTTTTTCCTTTTTCCATTCGGTTCGTTTCAAGTGTGTGATGCGCGGGTGCTGTGGTTGTAGTTGACCCTGGCTTAAGGAGCAGAATGTTCCACAACGCTGGTCATTCTGCCAGAGACCACAGCACCTAGTATGCGCCTCAGTCGCAAAAAAATCAAGAAAATAAGTGGTTTACCTAGATAAGCTTTGTTAGAAGAGAAGCAATCGAAATTTGGCAAATATGTGATGTGGAAAATTTACGATAAAAATTCCTTAATTAATTTCCTTTCCCGATAGCAATTTCGTCTTTATAATTAAAATATTATCCGCTCATATAACCTAACGTAAGGTGTTACTGGCGTTACTCTTGATTAAAGCAATAGGTGTTTCTCTTCCTTTATTCGTAAAGGAAGTCGTGCCCCACCTTCTTACCGAAATAATTGCTTCAAGTAATTGCCCTTTTCATTATAGGATATGAACATTGTTGATAAATTAAAAACTTGGTAAAAATAGAAGCATTGCAATTTCTGATATATGGGGAGTAGAATCTGGTGAATGTCGAATACCATCAATACTGTATAAAAATCCTCCGCCTTTTATAGATAGATAGTTTATCATAAATATTGGTGTCTCGTGATACTATCTATCAGAAGTGAGATTTGGTGGATTTACGGGTGTCAATCATCTAATCCGACGAATCTTGTCTATACCCAAGGAGTTAGTTTTAGGGTTTACAATTTTCGTTCTTTTTTCGTCTGTGGTTTGTTAAAGCTGTCAACGACATATACTACACATAGGTATTTGGCAACGGGATCCAAAAATTATTCTTGCCCGCGTTAAGAAACTAATTAGAGAAGTTCGGTTATGGAATCTTTATTAGTGATTCTGTATAATTCTGAATAAGGCATGAAGGAATGCTGGGAATTATTAGAAGGGGCGATATTAAACATTCTCGTGGGCGGATAGATGACGTCATTACATGGGTGCCAATAGGTTAGATGTGGCCTAAATAATAATATTATTTAAGATGTATTGTCTATAAAAAAATGTTGTGGTCGATGCACTGTTACAAAAGGACCCCCAAATACGTTACGTAATGCTTGAACGCTCCCTTACACCGGTCTCTGTTCTATTATCAGTAAGCCTACTACTATTACTTACATCTCTATCTTATTATGTAACATTTTTAATGTTTATACATTTTACATACTTTGGATATTTTGAATGAATTATTTGATTACAATAATTGAAAGTGAGTAGATAAAACTGGTAGCTAGGCAGCCTTCGGTTTGTCACGTGTAGCACTTCCTATGGCACAACACAACAGTGGTGCAAAGTATCTCAGCCTTGTCACACATTTATTACCTTTCTCATGTCATACTTTTGTACGCCCACTCATCAAGCCACGAGTTACGTTATGCGTACATTTTCACGTCGTCCGCCGTTCCACCACTGAGCGTTTCTTAAGGCAGTTTTTGCCGCGCACCACCACTATGTGGATCCAGCTGCCCACTGAAGTATTTCCGAACCCATTCGACTTAGGGTCCTGTAAGAAAAGAGCGTACCAATTTTTAAAAGACAACGCACTCGCGAGCCCTCTGACATTGAGAGTGTCCATGGGCGGCGGTATCACTTAACATCAGGTGAGCCTCCTGCTCGTTTGCCTCCAGTTCTATATTTAAAAAAAAGGTTTTCACGTCGTCTACGCCCACTCGTGGATTAAATGAATCGCACTATATGCCTTTGCTAAAAATCGTATTTTTTCTAGTATGATATTCCTACACGCGTAATAAAACGGTATCACGCATGTGATAGTAATAATTATAAATGTCCTTATCATCATTATTATTAGTTGAAATATTTGTAATATTCTAATCAAAGACAATAATATCTGTTTGAAATGTGAAGAATAATATTTAAAATTCACCTAATTTAAGAGCTGCTTCATATCTCTCTATACCAATACATAGTAACCGTGAAATTAAATGTTAATTATAATTGTTTTTAATTAGTAATTGTAATACAGTAGTATGTCTAATTGTCTATAGACTATGGTCTGAAGTGAAGTAAAAGTGCGAGAGGCGGGTTTATCGCTCACAATGCAGCATTGTTTGTAAATACCGCTATAATTCTAGTATTGTTTGAGGGAAATTAGCGTGATCTAAGTCATAGGTAAAGTCCTATTATGGCCTTCTGGAGAGACCTTCACGCCATTCACCCGCATTACAGGAAGAAGTGAGAGACCGGTTGCTCTGGTATCAGAGATCCCCTACATAGTACGCTGTCCCTAGCATTATGGTCAATAGACTTGTTGTGCCTCCTTAACAGTTCTTAATGATAGAGATGGGTGGCTGTAGCTCAGTGGGCGTTATGACGGTCTTCGATATAGACTCGTAGACTGGACTTGGCTAAGGTCCTCACCGCGTTGTTAGACTTCAACCACCACCTCGTTTGTTCCCCTCCTTGCAAGCTTATTAGGGGCATCACAACCTAGTGATCCTGATGACGAAAACAAGCGATTAAAGGTCTGCCATGCAAAAATAATATGCTAATACTGTTTGCGGAAAATTTACAAAGGAAAGTTATATATTTAAAACCTTGAGTTTTGCACATGAATTAGCCCCGTTCTTATATCACAACGATAATACTATGTTTAATTGGTACTATAAAAAAAATGATATTATTTTTTCGGTAACATTTTTGAGACATGTAACCGTGGAAAGCACCCAGACAAAACTAGCTGGCAATATTAGCTAGTCAATAATCATCATGTCTTATTTTTATGGTTTATTTAAACATAATCCTCCTGTTTGGACTCGGTCGGTTAACTACGTAGAAGGGTCGTATAAGACAAAGGATAGTTTTGAAACAAGTTACAGCTAAACTAAAACAATTATTTCAACTAAGCACTAGGTGTTGTATAAACACTCAGTCTGACGGTAGCACTGGGAGACGTTGGTAAGTTGTATATTGTAGTAGTTGAGTGGTTCTCGGTGTGTTTTTTTAATGCAAATTACTACAGTGTTACAATGTGTTGATCCAGGATTTAAAAAAACATTTACAGTTTTTATCTTCTCTCTTTAAATAGTAAAACGATATTATAATTCGATTATTTTTTTGCATGTGTTTCGCAAATTCTGCCACAAAAAGTCAGACTTACATTACATAATCAATCATATCATCATAGTCAATTAATATATTATTTTATCACTACGTCATTACATTATTAAAATGTTTTAATGAATTTTACCTATTGCCGCATAAAGTGTAAAATGTTTGCAATTTAATAATAAAAACTTTATTTTCTTCTTATTTTCGATTACCGAAGTTTCGAAACGCGATAAATGCAGATTCTTACCAATAACTGATTTTAATGAGTTTTATCAATAACACTGATTGATATTCGAGAATACAAAAATACTTGACGAACTTTTTAATGTATTTAAATTACTTTCGTAATCTGTGCACGGTATTTATAATAACAAATCTTAGAGATTAATCATAGATGTGGTATGGAAATATGTTAAACCCACGGTCAACAATAGGCCCGTGTGGAGTCAATTCACACGACACTCGCGCGAACAAAACAGCGCGTTCAGCGATGATAAAGCGATATTCAGCTCTTAACAATCTCCTTAACTTTAATACACGTACGTACCTAGGTAATGACATGCAACGTGACGTGCTTACGTGTTCCACGGAAGAGAAAACACCTTCACTTTTGTAGCTTTTGCTCATAGTGTGGTGTGAGGCAGAATTTCATATTGGACATTAATGTTATCACTGTAAACGCTTAAGGAGTTATAATTTTGCACTCGACCGAACTAATTACTGCAGTATTCCGCAAACCGCAGATATTTTTGTTTAATTTATTATAGAAGTTGCCGCGTAAGTGTGTCGTCATATGTGAATAGTGCTAAAACTTCACTTTAACGTTATGTTGGTCACCGACATTGGTCTACGTTTGGTGCAAATGTGGTAAAGTTACAATTTGCTACTTCAAAGCGTTTGGTATCTTCGAATTAGGCTCGACTCTCAATGGCTACAACACAATACATTCACGGTCGTAAAGGTATGCGTACAAACGAGAATATTACCTCGTTCGCATTACTATAGATTAGACATACCTCTTCTCTACAATTCTTACAAGCGAACGAAAAATATTGTTTTGAACTAGATCGAGTTTTCTTTTCAAAAATAATTAACTTACGAATAAAAATATTTAAGGAAAGGTCAACAGGAAAAATGGCTGTTATTAAATATGCTATGTGTGTTTTTTTTTGTATTTGTATATTCAAGTATAGCGCCTCCGTCCGTAGACCGATCTGGGTGATCAAATGAATCGAGGCGTCAAATGATTTGGATTCGTGTTTAGTTGCGTATAAGTCGATTGTTTATTAGCCTATATCGATATATGAAATGCTTTTGAGTTTAGGACGAATGGAGGTAATAGGTTGTTATCATTACATTACATACCTACTCAATTATTTGTGGCACAGACCTCCAAATAAAGCCTAATCTCTCTTCTTATCTTACCATAGACATGAAAAATCAGTAGAAATAAGATATATTGTTATGTAATACTGTCTAGTGCATTTTTGAGTCAACAACCAACAGAGCCAATTATGTCGTGAAGGTCTTACTGGAAAGTGGGAACACAGATTGTTATAACATTCCGAGACAATTTTAAAGGTAGTTTACATGTGTAAGAAAAATGTATGGGTTATCTACGCGAAGATATCTATTATAATTACATCTTGCATAAATTTAATTTAAATAATAAGAGATTTTCCTTATGGTAATATAAATGAGAATTGCTTATGAGATGTAGTTGTTTTATGCTGATTATCATATAAATAAGTCCCTACTTCATAATTTTATTATTAATAATTATTAGTGTTGACCGATAGGCCGACGCTCTTTTGACTCATAAACGTATTTAATTAAAGTGCTGACATAAACCGTATAGAAGTTTCATATTTTACTTCACGATATTGAGAATAATGTTCGGGTTCCAGGGACTCGAGCGAGGAGCCGGTCTCGATCCGTGTGCCGATCAATGGCATGACGTGTCAGTCGTGTGTCAGAAATATCGAAGGATCCGTCGGAGAGCTGCCCGGAGTGCGACACGTCAAAGTAAGTTATCCCAATTCCTGATTCTTATATGTGGTGAGATTCGGCACAAGCGGGCACCGTGTAAGCGACTAACTGTTAAACTTACTTATTTTAAAATGGTAAAAATACCAGAAGTGGAATAATGCTAAATGCTTTAAAAACATTTTGTATGTTTGCAGGTGGAGTTATCAGAAAAGGCCGGTTATTTCAGATATGACCCTCGCGAGTGTACGGCGAGTGTTATCCGGTCGCACATAGAAGATATGGGCTTCGAAGTGCCCTTCGAAGTGGACACGGAGGACGAGACCAAGTGAGCTATTTATTTCACAAATCTATATCAGTTTATAATAATGTCTATTAGTAAAATTTCATACCAAATATCGTGTTTCAGAAATCTCCTTGAACGCGAGATACCAACAGATTTATTAATCGACATGAGTGGCGCCGGCTCTGACGAGAGTTCCCTCTTGCTAGCCGTCACGGGAATGACGTGTCAGTCATGCGTCGACACCATACAGGGTGATTACATTGCCGTCATTGAACATAAGCTGTGGGGTGTCGTTCCGAGAACTTACATAAAATTTCAATGTTGCAACAGGTAGCCTATCGGAAATGCCGGGAATCCTCCACAACGCCGTGAGTTTGGCTGACAATTCGGCCTCGGTTCGATTCTCGCGCGAAGCAATAACGCCAAGACAAATCGCAGACGCCGTCTATTCGCTCGGGTTCGACGTGGATATTATAAGCGTAGATGGAAAACCGTTGAGTGGTAAGTCGCCTTTTGAGTTCATATGCAATCGGAGCTAAAATATTCATTTATATACGATAAAGAGCGAGTTTTTGTTTAGAAAGTACTCACGAGCGAGCTTTCGGTGATGGTGATCTGTCTCCAAAGGTCAACGGAGCACCGGCCAATGTGAGTGTTTATATATATTTTTAATTTTTCTTCGATATGATATTATTCTGCTTCGCAGTGTTAGAGGAATCGGTTACAAACATTCCTGATTATATTAAACAAAACGCCCGTTATCTTTTAACGGGACGACTACACATATTCGTCGCTAAACACCTAAACATAATTCCAGGGGACAGTGGCCACAGCGACGGAGGAGATATCTCGTTGCACGCTGGAAGTCAGGGGCATGACGTGCGCCTCCTGCGTGGCCGCCATCGAGAAACATTGCTCCAAGTTAAACGGTGAGTGGAGGAGAGCGTTCAGATGTCATGCAAACGGATTATTAATATTTATACTTGGTTCTGTGGGCGGCAACGAGCTAAGAGTACGCCGAGTACTTCATAAAATTTTTACCTTTTTACCATTGTCCATTGAGTTGTCAAAAGTTCTATTATTTGTTAATGCCTATAGTAGTGAGTTATTTATTGTATTTTTTATTATGTAATTTTATTTTTCCTAATTAATTTCGTGTTTCTTTTTTTTTGTTTCGTCTGTAAATTTTATTAACTTAATTTTCACTTTTGTCAATTTAGGGTCGCCTATTAGGGCAAGATAAATAAAAACAAAATGTGTGCGTGTACTAGGTGTACACACGTAAGAAGTGAAACTTCTTTATGATCTTATTTTTCGAAAAATGATCTACTATATGCAACTTTACAGAAATTCGTTAAATTAGATAAAGTTTCAGTAAAGGCTTTTATTATCATAGACATGAAAACAAATACAATTATTTCATTTTACTTTATTACTACTAGGATTATTATAGAATTTCATTAATTGTAATAGAATTATTACTATCATTGTTATCGTTATTATATATTTTTGTTATTAATGGCTTCGAATATCTTCTGATCAACCGTGGTAGGGACAAGAAAAAAGATGGCGCGTAACCGAAAAATGTGACGGTAACGTAGACGGACTATGGTATAGACTATAGACCAGGCATCAGCGTACAGCGTGTGAGATAGCTAATGATTGACATATGTCGTATTTACAGTTTTATTATTAACAGTTTTTTTTATTTTTTCATTGAAGATTGCTTATTATATTGACCAAAATACACATTCCAATGAATAATTCTTGAACAACGTTACTGAGTTGTGACAAAATAAGCTACTTACCGATGAAAGATGTTTGGTTCTTTACGTTCACTATAGCTTTTACAGCCAATTATGCAACAATTCACCATGAGTCATGACTGACACTTTAAATACACCTCTTATAAGGATAAAGTCTTAAAATATGAGTTTGACTTGGGTTTCACAGATTTATTAGTAAGCGGTGAAAACTTGTTTAAACCAAACAACCACCAAGGGCTCGGTGGTAAACAAATAAAACCCGATACGCAAATAGAGACAGAAAAACTGATACTTTGTTTCGCTCGCACTTAAGTATTTCACGTTAATGCCTTCTCTCTTTAGTTATTATTGTCATTTTAGAAGCTCATCTAGTTCTATACTCTATCTACGGACGGTAATTTTTTTTCCCAACGTCGATAAAGAAGTTTCACTCCAATAAATATTTTAACGACGCGTTCGCTTCCAGGCGTTCACTCCGTAGTGATAGCCCTCTTGGCCGCGAAGGCGGAGGTGAGGTTCGAACCGAACGTGATTCCGGCCGCGTCCATAGCGCAGTCCATCACGGAGCTGGGCTTCCCCGCCGAAGTGGTAGGCGAGAGCGGCGCGCCGAGGGATCTGACGCTTCTGGTAACTTTTCGTTCAATTCTCGTTTCGCGTAATTATATTTTAATTTCAATAGTCAAAATATGTTATCGAATTCCAGATAAAAGGGATGACGTGTGCCTCGTGCGTGAACAAGATCGAGAAGCGGCTGCTCAAGCTCGACGGAGTCGTGTCTTGCGTCGTCGCTCTCACCACCTCCAAGTAGGCCTTTTCAGCCTTTTTAGCCTTTTCGCGTTAATTTCGACGCCTCCCGTCCACTGACTATGATTTGTTTTCGATTCAGAGGCAAAGTGAAGTACGACCCCGAAGCGATCGGCGCCCGCAAGATCTGCGACGCCGTCAACGGCCTCGGGTTCGAAGCCAGCCTCGTCACCTCCGGCATCAGGAATAGCGGGAACTACCTGGAACACAAGTGAGTCACCCGCCGCGGTCTCTCTCCTGTTTATTAGAGTGTAATAGGTAAACGAGAGTTTTCTCCCCGTTCCAGAGAGGAAATAAGAAAATGGCGCACGGCCTTCCTGATCTCGCTGATATTCGGAGCGCCGTGCATGGCGGCCATGGTGTACTTCATGTGGCACATGGGCGAGGGCCACGACGCCCGGGACATGTGCTGCGTCCTTCCCGGCCTCAGCCTCGAAAACCTCATCATGTGGGCGTTGGCCACGCCCGTCCAGGTAAAGCCGAGAGCGAATCCGACATTTCAAAGGTCCAATATCCGTGGTTCCGACGCGTTCAATAAAATCGGTTTCAGTTCATCGGCGGCTGGCACTTCTACAAGCAAGCTTACAAGGCCCTCAGACACGGCACCTCCAACATGGACGTCCTCATCTCCATGACCACTACCATCAGGTAATTCAGCACTCGAACTGTTGCCTTCTTCGTCCTTTCCCTTCTGGCAAACGTTAATTCTCCTCGGACGCGTCCGCAGTTACGCGTACTCGTTGGCCGTGGTCATCGCGGCGATGGTCATGCGGACGGACACCAGTCCCTTGACTTTCTTCGACACTCCGCCCATGTTGCTGGTCTTCGTGTCCCTGGGACGGTGGCTGGAGCACATCGCGAAGGTGAGCACATTATCGCCGAACGTGTCTGTCGGTATCGAGAGATTTCAGTGTATTAATCTCTGTAATGTCTGCATGACGCGACAGGGCAAGACCTCCGAGGCGCTATCGAAGCTGCTGTCCCTGAAGGCGACGGAGGCGGTGCTCGTGACGCTGGACGGCGAGGGTCGAGAGATCTCGGAGAAGAGCATCCCCGTCGAGCTGGTGGAGAGAGGAGACGTGTTGAAGGTATATTTTGCACTCAGAGAAATGTGTGATAACTATTTGAATCCGAGTAATAGGCCTCGTCCGGTCCGTAGGTGCTCCCGGGCGCCAAGATCCCCGTAGACGGCAAAGTGATGTCAGGGCAGAGCACGTGCGACGAGTCCCTCATCACCGGGGAGTCCATGCCCGTCGCGAAGACCAAAGGTAGCTCATCGAACTGATTCACGTCGAGAGCCGTCCACGAAACGATACATTGAGCGCTAACCGACCACTTTCCAGATTCGCTAGTGATAGGCGGAAGCATCAACCAGCACGGAGCCCTCCTGATGCGCGCCACCCACACCGGGGAGGCGTCCACTCTCGCGCAGATCGTGCGACTCGTGGAAGAGGCCCAGAGCAGCAAGGCGCCCGTGCAGAGGCTGGCCGACACCATCGCGGGGTGAGGCGTCCGTCGTCCCTCGAAGTAGAGAAGTATAAGCGACAGAGACCGAAGGTTCCAACTCGCGTTATTCGTTCCAGATACTTCGTGCCGATAGTGGTCTTCCTGTCCCTTCTCACCCTGGTCTGCTGGATGATCACGGGCGCGCTGGACATCGACAAGATCAAAAAGATCACACCGGTTGGTGTAGATTGTGTTTCTAAGAAAGTTAATTTTTTCCCGGGCTTCGGCAAATAGACAAATAAACGGGGAAATTAACGATTTCAGGAAATTTACCGCACCTTCTCCGATTGGGAACTGATAGTGCAGACCTCGTTCCACTTCGCTCTGTCCGTTCTGGCCATAGCGTGCCCGTGCGCGCTCGGGCTGGCCACGCCCACCGCCGTCATGGTCGCCACGGGCGTCGGGGCCAAGTTGGGCCTGCTCATAAAGGGGGCTGAACCCTTAGAGAACGCTCACAAAGTACGTACCCTCACGAGTGGGGCAAACGACGAGTCGTTTCTCGCTCACGATTCGCACCTTTCTCTGTCGCAGGTCAAAACGGTGATATTCGACAAGACGGGGACCATCACCCGCGGCAGTACCACCGTGGCGAGGGTTTCGCTGCTCACGGGCGAAGCCAACTCCCTTCAAGACATTCTCGCCTGTATTCTTACCGCGGAACTGAACTCCGAACACCCCGTGGCCTCCGGTGAGTCGTATTCTTAATTAATAAAACTGATAATTAAAAAACGCGTCAGAAGTTATACTTCTTTAGCGTAATAATTTTCGTCGAGCACTTTAAATTGCATTTTTCTTGTCTATTTGAATGGTCACATCCATTCCAATCCAACAAACACTTATGTTTTTTATCACATTGGACAATGCAACTTGTCGATAAAACAGAACAAGCTCCAACTAGCGGCTCAGACTTTTTCGCCGACGTTTGGATAGATATTCAGGGTGTCGGTTTTTTGTGATGCTCCAAAAAAAGGATAACTTCAATAAAATGTTATTAAAACTAATCGACGCTAACCAAATAAATATCTTCGCAGCCATAGTCCGGTGGTGCACGGCGGTCCTCGGTTCGTCGGATCGAGCGCAATGCAGCGGCTTCACTGCGGCACCCGGCTGCGGCCTCAGGGCCAAACTCACGCTGCGCACGCGCGACAATTTCCCACGACTCGATATCGGGGCTGAAAGATTGCAAACCAGGTTAGTTTTGACGATAACGATCAACTTTAATTTAAGTTTTTGCGTTAATGTTTATTATTTTATTAATGTATTTCTTCGAGTAGCTCAATTGTGGGACCGTCACGGATCGGACGCAAAGCTGGCGAATTTACATTTAAATAAAAAGAAGAAGAAATGAAATACCTACGATTATACTTTCAGAGAAGGCTCGTCGTTCCAACTTCGGGGTGTTCCCGTGGACATGATAGAGGGCGATGGCGATTCGGCCCTCAGTTCTGCGCAGGCGGCGCACCGGCTGAACGCTATCATCCACAATGGCAACGATCAGGTAACGAACGAAGAATGTGGCTATCGATTCGCCTTTTACGATCTTACGTCGCTTTTGGTCCTTCGAGCCGGATCTCTCAATATCTGGCGCACCTCTTTACCGTCCCGAAGCACACGCTATTTATGAGCTATTTCGATTCGATTACAGGACGCGGAACAAATAGTTCTGATCGGCAACCGAGAGTGGATGCATCGCAACGGAGTGTCCGTCCCGAGGAGAGTTCAGCGAGTGCTCAGAGACGACGAGGAGTTGGGTCGGACCGCCGTCCTCGTCGCCATCAACGGTGAGGCGCCGCCCGAGGGAGAGGTCGCGTTTATTCAGGCGTTTAATAATAAATGTATGTAAATCTAGACCAGCTGGTCTGCACGATCGGCGTGGCGGACGAAGTGAAACCGGAGGCCCATCTGGCGGTCTACTGCCTCAAGAAGATGGGTCTAGAGGTGTGCCTGCTCACCGGAGACAACAGGAAAACCGCCGTGGCCATCGCGAGACAGGTAGATCGTCTCCGTCGGAAGGATTGGTGCACGTCGTGGAGATTATTAATCGTGTATCTACGTGTTTCAGGTCGGAATAACCAAGGTGTACGCCGAAGTGTTGCCCTCGCACAAAGTGGCCAAGATCCAGAAACTGCAGGAGAAGGGCCAGAAGGTGGCCATGGTGAGTCCGAGTCGGCTCCGTCCGAGGTCCGTCGACGAAGCCGTCGGATATATCTAATAGTAAATAAACGGACGCAGGTCGGAGACGGCGTGAACGATTCTCCCGCGCTGGCGCAAGCGGACGTGGGCATCGCCATCGCCTCGGGGACGGACGTCGCCGTCGAGGCCGCGGACCTCGTGCTCATGAGGGTTCGTCCGACGATTATTGCTTTCACTTAACGAATTTAAACGAACGTCTTCACCGCAACGATGCGTCTGAACTCCCGCAGAACGACCTGCTGGACGTGGTGGCGTGCCTCGAGCTGTCTCGGACGACCGTCCGACGGATCCGGCTCAACTTCGTGTTCGCGTCCGTCTACAACTTGCTGGGAATACCTCTGGCCAGCGGCGCCTTCGCGCTCTTCGGCCTTCAGCTGCAGGTTGCTTCACTTGAAAGAGAAACCGCACAATAGCGATCGTGTTCCTCGCCAGAGTGTTTAACTTGATCGTATTCTTTTCAGCCGTGGATGGCGTCGGCGGCGATGGCCATGAGCTCGGTGTCCGTCGTCTGCTCCAGCCTAATGCTCAAGACGTGAGTACGCCGCGAGAGATCTCTCTTCTCGGCGAAACCGTCGAGCGGCGGCTCACTCTCACTCGTCTTCTCAGTTTCAGAAAAGCCAAAGCGGAGGATCTCCGAACGACGGAGTATCTCCAGTCGATACATCTGGAGCGATTGGACTCCGTGTCCGTGCATCGCGGCCTGGACGACAAAATATACCCGGACAGCCGCGCCTCACCGCTCGCTAAGTACGTTTCGATAATGACATAATTAATTGACACGTTAATTCGCACTTCGTGAATCGAGTGGAGGGCCGGATTTGACATTAAGAAGAGATAAGACTTGATTGTTTGTCTGTTCATATTGAATTGGCTCAAAAACTACTTCCACTCTTAGAACCCCTGCGTTTCTTTGAAGACAGCACTCGAACCCTCCACTCTCTCTCTCTTATTTACCATTTTTAACTCACAATTTCAATTATATTCGTAGCTATAGATTTATTTCTGTGCATTAAATCATCTCACTCACGCAATATTTTGTCTCCAGCAAAAGGCGCGACTCGCTCAAAACGGCACTATTAAAGGTCTAGTCGTTTGGTGTGTTTTTGACAATTTTTTTATTTTTGTTTGTGCGCGTCACGAGGTTATGGCTGCGAGGTTTATGTGTTACACGTCTGTAAAAAGTTATTTTTTTTTTGGGAAAGTTTTGGTCTATAAATCGGAGTAATCCTCAAATTAAAGATAAATTATATCAGTTTGGATTTCAATGTAGCTTTGTCTTTGTGCCGTTTTCTGTTGTTCGTGTTTGATCGACGAGCTCCCCTCTCTCCTCTATAGCCTTGTAAACATATTATTTTATTTGTTTCGACAGATTATTTCAAAGAAACAAGCCGAGTGAGGGTTGCCTCTTGCGAGAGGAGGACGACCTCATGACCGTCTCTTTCATACCCAAACGACCGACGCGAGAACAGCCCGGCGTCAACGGATAACCGGATATTAAAACGGACATTTGAGGGATAATCTAATTCTAGGCGCACCCGAGTCGGCAAACGGGCGCACTTCGGTATAATTATAATCAGTCAAAATTCAAAAACAGTTTGGTTCGGGTGTCGCGAGTGAATTGATTTCTCCGAATATGAGATACTAGTCAGAGCTCGAACCAGTGTTACCCGCTACGTCACGTCACCGGCGAACTTCGAGTGTTGCCCGGCGTCGCTCAAATATAGCGCTGTGTCTCAAATCCTAAGCCATAGTTTAAACGATGTTACCATACTTGTACAAAATGACTGGCATTCGCTGCACAAAATATTATTATAAATATTCTAACGACATATAAAATGTATATAGCTATTACTGTAATAGTCCTAGACGTGGCTTGGCGCTCGATATCTAGGCTGAAAGGTGACCTAATCTTCTACGAAAATATATTGCGCCACTTAAACTTCCACGTTTCTTATTTATTAACGTCAAGAATGGGCCATCGAAGACTTTAATGTCAAAGGGAGCTTTGTCGATCGCTCGGCTTACGTTCTCCGATTACGAGAGGCTACGAGTGGGTCGCGATGTATTGTAATTTATTTTTAGAGCTACGCTTTCGAATATTGTACATTTTTGCTTAGTGTTTTTCCAATTATTTAATGATTCATAATTTTTATCTGTTAAATAATATTCTAATCATTTACTTAACGTACACATTATTTGTACAAATCGTTATTTCAAAATGTTATCAAAACTTTTAAGATTTGAGTTTTTAGCCGTTTAATACTCTAAACCACCACTTTAGATTTTTTCTATTTGTAAATAATATGTATATGCGAGTATTATATTTTTGTACTGATAGGTATATTAAGACTATTAAAAAGTTTATTAATCTTAGATTGTTCATTTGGTACTCCATCCCTTCGATAAACATCTGTGAGTCTACAGATAAAATAAATGGATCAAAAATAAAAGCAATTAGTACTGTAACGTTGTTACAACATATTCTTTAAAAAAGTTATACAAAACAGTATTTTGTTTTCATAAGCTAAGTTACAACTTAAAAAAAAAAACAGTTTTCTTACCCAATTTTTAAACTTCCAAGTTAATTACATAAGTCAAGAGAAATATTCAATAATACCTTTATTTGTCTCTTCATAATTTTGCCATTTACAAGTTTACATAATTCAGGTATTGGCCATCTTTGTGCGAGGCTGGTGCTTATCATAATAGGACTATAGAAGTCCTGTGGTAGTAATATATACTTAAGAATCGATCTGGTCGCCAAACTCCAAAAAAACATATTGTTTCTTTCCATTTTTCGTCATTATTTCTTGAAGTAGGGCGAATGGAAAAAATATATGGTGGAGTTGAGTAGTTTATGTATTTTGAAAGAGCGATTCACGATTAAAATAGCCAATTTTTGACACTTTGAATTCATTTTATGACGAAAATGTATGATTTTAAAATTTACACGATATATTTTATCGCAAAATAATGATAAAATTACAATAATCTCATGTTTTACATAACTAATTGTTATTACGGGCCGGCGCGCCACAGTGCTCCAGCTCTCCACTGGCCACTGCGCCCGCAGTCCACCCCGAGACACTGACACAGCAATTCGTGCTGGGATAGGGCCTTAAGGAAGAATAAGGTTTGTTGTACAAAAATGGCCCAAGAGAGCAGAATAAATCATCATCTAGTCGACATCCCACATTCTTTCAAGTGCAACCGTTGAATAGCGATCGTCGGACCTCCCGGCGCTTGAAAAATAGCAAGTTAAATAAAATAAAACATCTTAGGAACTCATTGGTTATTTATTCGCCTTAAATTCCTAAAGATATAAATCAATTTGCGCATCCTGTTGACAAGAATTTCTAAGTGAGGTTTAAAAGTTAAGCACGGATCAACTTGAACGCCCTTTCAAGTGAGGGACAGTTGCAACCAGCCAAACTTGAAGAATAAAATATGTGTACTTTTATTTTACTTTCATGTATTTTGATATAAATTTATGCTCTTGTCATAAAAACAAAGAAAAATAAAAAATTGTCAATTATAACGATTCGTATACGGTATAAAATTTAATGGTATTGGTATTTAATTATACAAATACTTTATTGTAAAATTTATCTAGGCGATATTTACATTTCACAAAATTTTTCAGCACATGGAAACTTGATTGATATTTGTATTTTGTTTCTTTTTCACAAGACTCCTTTACCATGTTTACAGTTTACATAATTATACTATCTACATATCGTCGCTTAGCTAACAATACCGCACAAGTCATATTTTAGCCAAATGACGTTTTTTACACCATTCGATAGATTACTTTCCCGCGCGTCTAATGAGCTCTCGCTAGAGGTAATATCGTCCAATAAGAGCGCGTTATTCAAAAACTAGTAACACAACACAACTCATTGGCTGCGCTAACACCGCGCAAGTCATCATAACGCCATAGTAATTTGGCCGTGCCACGTCGCACCTTATAAAGCCGGGCGCATACATACTGATTCCTGATCAGAAATCCTGATCAGGTTTCCTAATCAAGAATTCCATGTGGAGAGCGCACACATTCTGTTTTTTTGCATTCGGAATTTAAACGATCAGTTCGATCATAGACGCTTCTGATAACGCACGAGTATGGACGACGAAGACGAATTGATGCTCATTGCTCTTTTATTGGCGCTAGACAAAAAGGGGAATAAAACGTCGTTATTGGGTGCATCCACTGAATACCCAAAGATTAACTGAGAGTCAATTCTATGTCAAAAGAGCAAAGTTACGGGCATACCCAGAAGAATTCTTCAAATATTACAGGATGTCAATGAAATCCTTTGATGAGCTTCATACGAGATAAAATAAAAAAGCAGGAGAGTGTTACACGTCGTACGTCTACTCGGCACAGCGCGGCGCCAACGCGATTCTGAATGAAAATTTCCGTACGTGTGCGGCGATCGAGCCAAAATGTATGCGAATGCTGCGTTCGGGGTGACGTCATCAGGTTTTTTTCCGTTCTTCCAAAACGAACGCACGGAGAAATTCCGAACCGAACGTCAGGTTTTTTTCTGTCCGGAAAAAGTAAGAACGGTGTGCGCCTTGTCGAACATTTTGTATGCACGCGGACCATTCAGGTTTCCGAATCTGAAACCCTGATACGGAAACCTGATCCGGAATCAGTATGTATGCGCCCGGCATAAGATCGTTTGTCGTTTTTATAAAAGCGGATTTTTTGTAACGGACTGGCCCCACTGATGTAGTTTAAAGGTAAGGTAACTTAAATAAAACATAGTATTCATATTTTATCTATTAAAATACGTCATACGATTGCATTTAAAAACATGAATACTTAAGCGGTGTTGGAATGAACAGTTTCGTTGAGTTAGGCGGTTTTCTCTTTGCTTGGTTTCGATGTCTGAATGACTTACAATGTACTTCTGTGTTGAGTTTCTGACTGCTGTGTGGTATTCATCGATATAATTAGCGATTTTTACGCAGATTTTTTAATGATTTCTATATCGTAATTATATTATATTTTACTTCAGAACACGAAAATGGACAAAATGGTCGATAATGATACCACGCCTGATGACTTTTCAAGAGTTGACGCTCAATGTAAAAGTTATTACTTTGCGTGACTTACAAAAGAGACATAGAGAAAAAATGTTATTAAATACATTGGGTATTAAATAATGGTTTGTCCGATACTGGTTGATAACGACAGATTGTGCTATGCCACCGCCTTCTGAGATTTCTCGGAATGTAGATTGCTCCAAAAAGAACTCTGATGGTCACGAGCGTCTACAGCAATTTTTAGATAACCTGCCGAAGATGCCATCGTCTACTGTCGAGCAAACTCATCCAGACGATACCTAGAACCAGTATTTCATACCATGGCACAATTATACAAAGAATACGTCAGTAAATGCGAATTAGATTCCTTAAAATGTCTTAGTCGTAGGGTTTTTGACAATGTATTCTTAAAACAGAATCTTAGTCTGTTTCATCCCAAAAAAGATCAATGCGATGTATGCTGTGGTCATAAAGTTGGAAATATAAACGATACTGAAATTGCAATACATCGCGATAGGAAAGACAAAGCTAGAAAAGAAAAAGACACTGACAAAAAATTGGCAATAGAAGGAAAAACGTGTCATGTATTTACGCAAGATGTTCAATCAGTAAAATTAGCTCCCTACCTTCAGGTTAGTGCCATATACTACAAGACATTTTATCTGTTCACAATTTTACCATGTATAATTTGTCAACACGTGAAGCTTGCTGCTACTGGTTCGATGAATCAAATGGCTCCCTTGAAGCTTCTGTTTTCGCATCGTGCATTGTGGATCAACTACAGATAATTTTAAATAGAAAATTACTACCGGTAATATTGTATTCTGATGGCTGCTGTGCACAAAATCGAAATTCCATCTTAAGCAATGCTCTTCTGCGTTTATCCATCGATAAAAAAGTTAAAATAACTCAACAAATCTTAGAAAAAGGTCACACGCAGATGGAATGCGACTCTGTGCACAGAGCCATCGAATGTAGATTAAAGGGAAAAGAAATTTACCTTCCTTCCCAGTATGCGAATATAACAAAGACAGCTAGAGATAACCCAATGCCATATGAGTCTCGATTATTAGAATTCTCTTTTTTTACCAATTTCAGTAAGGATTTAATTTACAAAACCATTCGTCCGGGCAGAAAATCCACTATTACCGATTTAAGGGTATTAAAATATAAACCAGATGGAACTATTTGGTATAGCTTAAACTTTGACGAACCTTTGCAGCCGTTGCCTCAGCGTCCAATGAAAATTACCAATGTTAAACCTTTAGAAGAGCTGCCGAAATTATTTTCTGAAAGACTGCCAATTTCCCAAAGAAAATATAAGGATCTCCAAGATTTAAAGGCAGTGATACCTTCGAACTGCCACGCATATTATGATGAGTTACCTTATAAAAATTAAATATTTTTCATTATTAGATCCATAAACATTTTGTATTATTTTTAGAAGTAGGTTAAGTATTCGAAGTGTTCTTATTGTCTTGTATTGTTTGTGTTAAATGTACCATTTAATTAAAGTTTTTGAGAGTTTAGAATTATTAGAAGTCATGGAAAAAATTACCTAAATTACAAAGCAGTGGTTTGCTCTGGTTTCCATTGTAACTTAGATAATTTTATTGATCTCAGTAGGTAAGTAGTTGATCTCGTCAAACAGTACAGTCGTAAAAGTCAATGAGTTCCTATAATATATTATAATATTAGCGAACCCGGCAAGGGTTGTCCTGTTGGAATAAGAAAATAAAACGGCAAAGAAATGTGTTTTTTTTTTTGATAAAAAGCTAATTTAGCAATCTTTTTTTATTTTATTGAAGTTAATAATTAGTTTTATAAAACTGTTTTTGAAAAATGTTTTTATTTTGATAGTTTTTCATAGAAAGATTTTCTATGAAAGACTTATAGAGCTTAAAAATAAAAGGTAAAAACACCGCGTAAGTCTTTACTTTGTTAGAGTAAAACTGCTCAAGTCTTGAAAATTACCTAATAAGACGATATTTCTTTTATTTGTTTTTATAGTTATCATGCTTAACTAAATACAATATATTAAAATTTTTATCATGCATGTATTGTACAAAATGTTAAAGTAATACAGTTTTTTGTCTCTCCTGAAAACTAAGCAAATCTGACTTATGCGGTATTGTTAGCTAAGCGACGATATTCATTTACAAAAGTACTCTGTAATCTTTGTATTTGCTTTCAAAAGATAATTGTCAAAGTGACAAATGTGAAAAAATGACAAAATTAATTCTTCTGTTTTCTGACATATGTCGATATGTGATTAGCGCACTTAGCAGTTAGCACTAGACACTATAGTCGTATTTTTAATTAGACGAAATCAACTGACAGTAGCTAATGTCACTTTGTAAAATAATGTTGCCATTAGGCATTAGCCATATTTAACACAATAGTTAGTTGAAAACCATTTTAAGACAATAATTAGTTAAACATTTAGAAAATGTTAATTCAAAAGGTTCGGCCGCTGTTTGCGGCTATTTTAAGATCTTCCTTTCAAGAGGATTTCAAATATTTATCACGCTCTAGGTTGGTATGTAGTCTTTTATAATTATAACGCGTTAACTCCTAAAAACAACGACAACCAGCACTTTTTCGATATACCATTTTTTAACAAGGAAGTCGTTCCTACTTCTATCACAAATTTGCTTAATATAACAAATATATATTTATATACTAAAGAAAGTAAGTGCTTGTCGTTTCAGCATAGTATACCATAAAGCAGCATATGAAGGTGATGGCAAGACAACAGTGCGTATTATCAATCAGGATCCCGATCTCGGACTTATTATAGACTCATACGGCACAGTAAGTGATTAGGTACATTTAAAACTTTATTCCGGCCTAGGTTAATAACCTGCATGCTGAAAATAAAATTACAATTGTAGAAGTTATAACCATGTTTAGATTATTGCACTGCTGCTCTACCAAACAATAATTTTAAAGAACACAAACACTGACATAATGCATTAAAATATTATAGCATTTCAATTTCAGTTTGGCTTTCGACTCAACAATGGTCTTACTGTGCTGGGACCTATGGCTATATTTCCAAGGTAGGTTATAACTTATTTAATATATTACAAAAGTCTAAATTCTAGTGATGATGCTGCTGGCGTCTAAAAAAGGTATAGTCCTGGACATTCTTTGAGGAATTTCTAATTAGTGCCCTTCTAAAATGGGATATTATTAAAATATTTAGCATTACATTGGATGGGCACAGAAGGACCATAGATTAAGATTGAGATTTCTCATTAAATACTACTTATAGACAATTTTTTATTTTCTCATTACAGGACTGTCCTATCTTGGCAAATTCACAGTTCAAACAACATCACAGCTGATTCACTTACATTGTTCAGATTGCTTGAACCTAAAGTGGATCTTGTGGTATTTTCTTTACTTTAGTTTTTTTTTACTAGTTTATTAAAAAGCTTTATGTTGTCAAAAAAGAGGCATTAAATAATAATAATAGTATGTATTATTGACATTCTATATAGTAGCAGAGTTAGTCTAAATAACATGTTCATGTTTCTTCAAGTTCACATACTGCAATTACATAGCAGCTAGCAGAAATTTTAAAAATTACACATAACAAACAAACAAAGTAAGCTCCTTATTTGTTCACAGATAATAGGACTTGAAACAAAAGACCGTAAAGTGTTAAACTCCGTGTTCCAAGCAAGTCGTGAAGCAAAACTGAATGTGGAGATTTTACCAACTGAACATGCCTGTGCAACCTTTAACTTTCTCAATGCGGAAAGCAGGTATAGGCTTTAAATTAAACTAAATGAACTAATTGTCTATGACATTCCTGGCTCTGTTTCTTATTTGGCTTCTTTAGTTCAATCAAATGCTGCTTTTAGACACAAGATTTCTTGTAGATATCATGGTTCATGATTTCAGTCTTTTTGAAGTTATACTTAAAGAAGTATAACTTCAAAAATACTAAAGAGGCGCGTTATGAAAAATTGATGAGAGTGAAATTTTACGATGCGCGCGCACCATTACACAAAATTATTGTCATTATAAATGTAATTTTTAAGTCTCACGAACAAGTGATTTATGATATTAAAATTGAGTAGTGATGATTCATTTGCTTATTAGTTGTAATGTACGCCGTAATTTATCGTATAATATATATTAGTGTATAGACGTAATATATGTTAGTTTATCTAGGGTTAACACAAATTATGCCCATCAGGTCAATAGCAGGTGCTTTGATCCCACCGTTGCACATTGAAGTGAATGAAGATGACATGCTCAACAGCAAACTGCACTACGGAAACCTGTACAACCGTCGGGATGACTTATAGACAAATTGTATTTCTCTCTAAGTATATAAAAGTTTTAGCTTAGTTTGAGATTTAATTATTAACATTTAGGTAATTGTATTAAATTAATATGTAAATATAGTTTGCTGCAACTGATTTGTCTATTTATTTCAAGTCGTAAATTTTACTTCATTTGCCGTAGCCGAATAGATTATTACTATTAATAGTCTCTTAGTAATATGAATTTAGAAGAAATTTACGTGACCTTGCGAGGAGCCAGCGGCGGTGGAACTATAAGCTTTTCGGTTATTCTGAAATGGTTCAAAGCCTGTAAGATTATCGACGGTAGAATAATAAATGAGGAACTATTCGCAAAATCCTACGAACGACTTTGTCCAAATCGAGAAGGCTTATCATTTGTCCAATTTATACAACTAGCCGGAATTTTGATGAGAGAATCGAGGCAAGACGTTGCAGTGTTTTGTAATTTGTTTACAAGTGTTAGAGGTGAGATTGTAGAAGAAATAAGAAGAAATCAACTTTAACAATTGGCTGTTTAGTTCCTCCAATAAGGTACTTATTTGAGTGAGAATGAACATGCGATCTAATTTATATGCTGTAATATTTTTATTATATTATATTCATTCGTTTAGGCCTGGCAAACTATAATAATACGCCAAGAACTCCCTTTATGGGCGATGATTAAAAAGTTTAAAGATGCATTAATGGAGTATTTCTCGAGTTCGATTTAAATCAAAAACGAAAATAATAATATATATATATTATTTTTATTTAATCTATATTTATGGTCAAGGGTTTGTAATAATAAAGCGATTATTAATAACGTTTTTAATACAACCTTAAAATACAATAATTACTTATACACTAAAATCACAGCTTAAATTTCTTGAAAAATCTTATTAATAAAAATACTTCTCCAGCTTCACGCGGCTTTCTTCCTGTGTTCAAAACAATTTCCTTTGAAAAGTAAGTATTAAGGGTAAAATAACCAATCAAGACTAAGTGCACTGGTATTTCATTTCTTTTAGTCAAATTAAAATTCGTTTTCGTAAATCGGCGATGGGTTACGACGCCTCGTTGGGTGCCTGCTGTTGTAGTAACTCCCAATAGAGGCCTTTCTTCTTCACTAAGTCGTCATGGGAACCACTCTCTGCCACGACCCCTGCAACCACCGAATCGTTTTTAACTAGTTTCTTATGGAATCGAAACGAACCGTGTCGCTCATTGAAATGGATGGTAATAAATTAAATTAGTCTAAAAGTTAAGAAATTAAAATGTTTAGAATACCTTTATCAAGCACGCAAATGATGTCCGCATGCCTGACGGTGGCGAGTCTGTGAGCGATGATGAGGGTGGTCCTACCGACGGACGCCGTCTCCAGAGCTTCTTGGACCACCTAAGAGTAATAGGAATTGATATTATCAGGCCCTTTTTGATCATTAAAAATTTCATTAGATTATAATAAAGAGAAAATATATAGGATAAGCCCACCTTCTCACTGGCGGCGTCCAAGGCCGAAGTGGCCTCGTCCAGCAGCAACACCCTGGGGTCTCTGAGAAGAGCCCTAGCGATGGCCACGCGCTGCTTCTGGCCTCCGGACAGGGCGGAGCTGCCCGACTCTAGGACTGTGTCGTAACCCTGCGTGTGAAAGAGCAATAATGAGAACCAGATCTATACTATTCGCTAAAGTGCGCATCACGCTCGTGGAGTGTTAACTAACCAGTGGTAAAGAAGAGACAAATCCGTGCACGTTGGCCTTCATCGCCGCCGAGATGACCTCGTGCATGGTCACCTGTCTGCCGTTGTCTCCGTACGCGATATTCTCTCTGATGCTCCTCTCGAACATCACGGGCTCTTGCTGCACCAGACCGAGTTGCGACCGAAGACGCTTCAGGGATATCTTTGACTTTATGTTGCGATTGTCTAGGCTCTATAACAAAATACATTTTATTCTCTGACCTTAGATAACGCACAGGTAACCAAGAGTAAATACAATTTTAAACGATAACTCACCACAGTCCCACTCTCGGGGTCATAATTCCTCATAATGAGATGCATAATGGTACTCTTTCCGCAGCCGGAGGGCCCCACGAGGGCAACGGTCCGTCCCGCGGGGATCGACAGTTCGAGGCCCCGAAGGACTGGCTGCTGTGGCCTCGTGGGGTACTCGAAATGAACGTTCGATAAGGTAATGTTGCCAGTGGAGACCTGTGGTTAATTATTTTCATATTGACAATTATATTTTATTATAATAAATATATAGCGTGATATACGAAAGTCGTTTTTTAAACAAACGTCAAACTTAGAATTAAGTGTGGACGAGTTATATTAATAAAATACGCATCAAATTGTAAACTTCCTTCTTCAGGTTTTCTAAGATTACTAAAATGTATCTTTTACCGAAAGGGCCAGTTGTCATGAAAGAGCTTCATAAAACTACTCACCCAGTCCTCGTCATCACGCTCATTATACTCGCTAATGACCCGCGGAGTCCTCTGCAGAGCCCTCACCACTCTGGCTCCAGCCCTCTGGGCTCCCGCAAAGTTGGGGGCGAAAGACAGGGCTTCTGCCAACATCCACGCGCCGTAGATTAGGGCTTCCGAAACTCTGCGAAAAATATTATGGAATGAGTTACAATTATAGATTAAATTAATATTGATAATCATTACTCTCCATACTATACACTCACAGTATGACGTATTCGTACTTCAGCCCCTCTCTTGCGATCAAGTACCCTCCACTGGCCAAGGAAAGGGCGTATCCCATGGTGGGGGCGCACAGGCACAGTCCGTAGACAAGGCCCCGGATGCCGCGGCTTACTCCGGCGCGAGCCTCGGCTTCGTCTAGGGCTCGAAGGTACTTCGACAGAAGCGTTCGCTCCACACCTGAGTCATTGCATATAATATATTAGTCATCGTTCGCTTAAGAAAAGACAAACATTAAAGCGAAAGCTCACCCAAGCTGTGCACAGTCCTGACGTTAAGCACGGCCTCCGTGGCCATTCGAGACGCCTCCTCCATCGCTTCTTGCTCTTTGACCTCCGACCTCTTGTTCACCCAACCCTCGATGCAGATGCCACCTAACACCTGGAACGTGCGACGAGTTATCAGAAAGAGTAATTAGTCCGTCATATTACTTCCTTGAGTCGGTCTCTCATCGAGCACTCCTACCATTTAATTGTGCATATAGACTATTTCGCAACGTCGAATACTCACACAGGGCACACTCAGCAGGCTGATGAGCGTCATTTTCCAGGAATAGAACATGGCGACTCCGACTCCCAGCACCATCGTGCTCACGCCTTGCAGCATTGTGCCCAGGCGAGTCCCTGTACGAGATGGAATTGAGTATTTTCGATACCTATGATAAGGAATGTATGAAAATGGGTAAAAAGAGTTACCCGTAGCGCCCTGAACGGCCGCGCAGTCGGTGGCCAGTCGAGCGCACAATGCCCCCACGGAGTTCGTCGGCGAGTCGAACCAGCCTTGCTCCTATTGGACGAATTGACTTTAATGTAATAAAGGAAGACAAGTAGAAATAAAAATAGCTAAGGAAGGAGACTCGCCTGCTGCAAGTAATTAGCGAACATGGTAACCCTGAGTCTGTTCGTCAGCCTAGCTCCGGCGAGACCGAACAGCCAGGTCTGAAGGAACGTAACCAGACCGCTGACGGCCGCCACTATGGCGAACATGCCGGCGTACAGCTGTGACTGCCGCAGAATCTCTTCAGGATCGGGCCACGAGAACATCTGGAATCGAGTACCGTATATGTAATTTTTTTGAATAATCATAAAAAGGGAGAAGGTTCAAAAACTTATTGGCTTTTTGGCGACTGGACGGCACTTTTAGTCTTCGACCCTCACCCCATATAGCTTGGACAGCAGTAAGGCGAAGACTGGCATCGTGGCTCCGATGACCAAGGAGGCGACTCCTCCCGTCAGAAGAAGAGGCCACTCTTCATAGTTTAGTTTAAGCAGTTCCCAATTGGACACCTGCCCACTGGTCTCCTCGGTCTCTTCTGTTGACTCCTGATTAGAGAAAAGCGTGTATTGTTTTTAAACTATTTCACTATATTCTAGCAGAGAGAAGTCAAGGAATTAAAATTTATTATTTTCCGGTAAAATATCAGTAAACAAATATTATTATATATAATTATTTATTTATCGTAGTAAAACACTCACTTGAGGCGGAATAAGATCTGGCGGAGGATGCAATGACGTCACCGAAGCGACTCTGCGACTACCACGGGAGAAACTCTCGCGCATAAACGACTCTGAATTTCAAATTATTTTACATTAGATACCAAATTACTACTATTTTTTTAGTTTGGAAATGGTAAAAAGATAATTAATTCGTTAACAATATTTTTATTAAATATGAGGATGGAGGAGGAAACAGGACGTAACTGTAACAAAATATCTCGTAAACCTCACCTCTATGTGATCGTACGCTGCTATTCCTTCTCACTCTCACCATCTTCTCTTCTACGACATCGTCGTCTACGTTCTCTTCTTGCATACTTTCCACGCTTCTAAAATTAGTTTTTCATTTAAGACTTAGTCATTTCTAAGTTAAAGTAGAATTGAATGCGAAACTAGTATTAACGAAGAGAACAGCAACAAATTGCCATGCCTTTTAAAAATGTATAAAGCTTAAGCTTTTACTCGTAAACATCTTAATATATATATTTCTTCTGTGCGTGTGTATGTGACTGAACTCCTCCTAAACGACTGGACCGATTTTGATGAAATTTTTTGTGTGTGTTCAAGGGGATCTGGGAATGGTTTAGATTCACAAATCAGCCCGGCAGATGGCACTGCAGTCGGTACTTTCATACTTTGCTTAATATCCTAATCGCTTTAAATATCATGCAGGACAACGTCTGTGGGGTCCACTTTATTATATATAACCATAATATGTTATGGAATCTTTCTTTTTCTGTTATATTTGTTTACAGAAACTATATTGTTTGAATATATTTGTTGCATCGACATTTACAACACAAATTAATTCAAAGAAACATTAGCAAAGAATAATAAATAGAAGTAATTTAACAAATAACACACACAATACACGCCAAACGTTTCTTAAACGCAAGGCAATGTAACTGACTTATTAGCTCGCCTCACCCGACTAGTAATGTTTTTGCTTTTTGGTGTAATTAGATTAATATGGAGATGTTGGTGTAGGACTTCATATAACAGAACATAGAAATGGTATTTCCACAAATTTTGGCTGCCAAGTAATTATAATTTATTCACAATAAACTTTGATGCTGGGTTCGAATCTCGGCAAAACTACTGTATAATATGTATATGATAAGCAAAGAAATATGCACTGCTCTATTTGGGTGTAACGGGAGATCGTCTCTATGCCTCATTCCCCCTTACCCCACTGACCTGTGAGTCATGTCATCCTGCACCAGTTTCCAGTAGGCCCCCTTCTTATCCAGAAGTTCAAGATGTGAGCCAGCTTCGAGAACTGAGCCTTGTTCGATGTACACAATGCGGGACGCGTTAACTATTGTCGATAACCTGTTAAAATCATTATTTATATTTTTATATGAGCCGTTGCCTCCGAGCCAATGTATATTACAAAAAAACAAGAATGTATAATACCTGTGTGAGACAACAAGCGTGGTCCGTCCTCTGCTCGCAGCATCCAATGCTAATTGGACCTAGAATATTGTTTTTGTTGATTAATATAAAGTCAGAATTTACACAGATTTCTAAATACACGAATATGAAGAAAGAGCTGTCACCTGTCTCTCCGAAGCTGGGTCCAAAGCAGAGGTGGGCTCGTCCAAGAGCAGTAGCGCCGGCTTCCGGATGAGAGCTCGAGCGATGGCCACGCGCTGCTTCTGCCCTCCCGACAACTGCGCCCCGCCCTCGCCTAGTCGCGTGTCGTAGCCCTGAAGAAGAATTGTCACTTTGAATACTTTTTCTGAGACATGTCAATTAGGGCAAGCATACACGAGAAATAAAAAAATAAATTAAATTATTTAATGCTGGAAATTGTCAATGTAATATACTTGCTTCAAGTCAAACTGAAGTTGAGGCGACACAGCTTTTGTCTCTATATGGAGCTACGTATTAAACTGATACATACACTGGCCAACTTCGTAATAAATTGATGCGCGTGCGCAGTTTTAGCAGCGGCGACGATGTCCTCCTCGGTAGCGCCCTCTACGCCTAGCGTTATATTGTCTCTGATAGTGCCACTGAACAGGACGGGCTCTTGGCCCACGACGCCTAGAACATGTAACATTATTACGATATAAGCTACAATAGCTCAGAAAGAAAGTCTAAATTTAAATTTTAAGGCCCCTCACCGATGCTGCTCCGGAAGTGATGCAAGTTCAGCTCCTTCAGCCTGTGGCCATCCACCATGACGGTCCCACTTTCCGGCTCGTAAGCCCGTTGCAAGAGTTGCAGCAAAGTGGACTTGCCGCACCCCGAACCTCCCACGAGGGCCACCGTCTCCCCGGGATTAATTGTCAGAGATAACCCTCGGAGGACCTGAAGAATAGGAAAGTTATTTAAATACGGAAAGAGGAATAATATATTACACAATATGAACGAAAGGTTAAAATACCAAAAAGGAGCGAATATATATCAAATACTAACCTTGACATCCGGTCGCGAAGGATAATTAAAATACAAATTATCAAAAGAAATATTTCCTTTGATTGAATCGGGCTTGATCCCGGTCTCGAGTAAAGGGTCAATACTCGAGTTGCGCTCGAGTAGAGCGAACAAGGACTTGGCCGCGCCACGCGCTGTTGAGAATATTTCCAGGTGCGTCGTGCACATCGCTGTGTTTTGGGCAGCCATGAAACAGCAGAAGAGAACCTGCGATTGAAATGGTCTTTTCATCACCACGGCTAATAAAACGTGGATTAAAGTTAGTCCCTTATTAGTAAACATAATAGCTACCATGGTATCAAATACTGCAGTCTTCGTTTTATAACAAATTCCTGTGTCAAAATACTCGGCTTTATTTATTCAGATAAATTATAAATTAAATTAAAAAGTAGACGATATTTTGTTTATTGAACTCACAGTGACCATAACCCCGGGGTGGTAGACCCTCTCATCATCGGGCACGTCCATGTCCCTCACGCAGAGGACGGTTCCGTACGCAAAGACTATGGAGTTGAGGACGTAGGTGAGCAGCCAGCTGAGGCCAGAGCCCGCTCCGGTCCAGAGGCATCGCTTGTGGGTGGATGCACTCGCGAAGTGCAGGGCTGACTTGTAGCTAAAGCGATTTGAATAAATAATGTAAGGTGGTAGTTAGAGCTATTACAAATAAAACAATAAAGAATAAACTAATCAAATAAGCTATCTGTAAATAAATATTAGTTAAGTATTTCCTTAATTACCTATCCACCTCCTTGGTCTCTCCAGCATAAGCCCTGACAGTGCGAATGGCGGCCAAAGCCTGTTCCACCAAACGACCCGCTGTCCCGTACGAGGTCACTTCTTCTGATGTATACTTCGTCTGGTACTGGGCAAATATTCTCAATTTAAATATTAGTTCCACAAATCCTAAATCCAACTTAAACGATCCAAGTACCTTAGCAGCCTGCGAGACAATGACCAAAGCGATGGGCACCACACACAGCCCGGCCAGAGTGAGCTGCCATCCGTACAGCATGGCCACCATCCCCGCGGATATCACACTCCCACCCAGGTATGACACCATTACCACCTGCTGCCCCACACCTGCTTTTAGCTTGTCCGTGTCTCTGTAAACGGTTGAAATAAGTACTTTTACATTTTCAAAAAGAGTCGATTAAGTTTAATTGGCTTATTAGCACAAAAAAACACTCACTCTGTTATTGTTGTAGCGAAATTCATAGTTGTGTTTAAGTCGAAGAAGGCAGTTTCTTGACTCAAAACCGCGCGTAAGAGTCGCCATCGTATTCGGGCTATCTGTAATTAAACACATTAGATTAGTTCAAAAAAAGGCAAGTAAGTATTGAATCAAGATTTTGGCTAGTCTTTATTTTTTGTGTATGGATATTTAACCAATATTTCTTCGAAAAATAAAAAAATCGAAATTTCTTTTTTTTGTATAAATATTAAAATCGTATATAATAGGATATTATTACCATCCTCGCAGCGGCCCAATTCGCCAAAGTCACGGCAGCCGTAGCAAGACACATTTGCACTAGCATAATGGCAACACTGGCCAACGCAAACGAAATCGAGTCGTCCACCAATGCATCCATGTGTTCATTCTTGTCAGTGTCATTTCTAAAACATTCATACAATTACAGCAATAATAAGCTTACTCGCAAGCTGCAAACATGGCAACAACAAAGAGCATAAACGAATCTTGTAGAGAACTCATTTCCAGTTCAAATGAACTTGCGATGATCCTGACAGAACCTTTGCCAGTTGAGGAGTGCATTTTTCACAGAGCATGCAGTGAGAAGCCCAGATCATGAATTGCGTGAAAAAGGGATTGTGCGACAGTGCACTACAAATTGTAGACGTGGGAAATAATAACGTATTACTTTTGGGTCTTATTTTTCTATCATGTTTTAACAACTCAAATATCCAAGATATCAAGATAAACGATATCATATTATTGAGTATAAAATACTAACACTTTTCTTCCTCCTCCAAAGAGCTCCAATATCAATGGCTCGGAGGGCGGGTCGTGTCCTTGGTCCCTCTGAATAAAAAGGGCGGTCAGCTCGCCGTAGATAAGCACCGCTCCAACTAGACCCACGGAGCACAGAAATCCACAAAGAGCGGAGGATATAGTTGCGATGATCTCTGGATATGTTGCATAGCGCCACTGGACACAAATATATTGTATTAGATAAAGACGAAAATTAAGAACTAATACGTCAGACGTGGCGGTATCGTTTTATGACTTTAGTCTGCTCTAAGGGAGTATATTGTGTATATTTGAAAAAAAGTTTTATTCTCATACCAATGGTGAATGGAAGCAAATGTTTTTTTAAACATACAAATTAATATAAAGGTGTAATACATATAAAGGTGATTTTTATATAAATCACCGATTACACAATAATTTCCACTAAGTTATCAATTACTCGTAATCAATACTTTACAAGTGTATATTAATTTATTCTACGCAGTCGTTTTTTACACGTGTTAATTAATTATTTTGTTATGAGCAAAACAAATCAATAAATCTAAATTAATATTGCTAGTGAATCAACGCCGACACCAGAAAATAATTGGTTCCGAGACATTCTCACTTATAATGAGTGTATGATATTGTATATTATATAATCATAAGGCTTTTATAAACATACAGAGATTACTCATTTCCAGTAGACAACTTCTAACACAGGGTTCGAAATCTAAACCAGGGTCAGTGACATTTAAGGGGCAATCTCACTTACTACTCATGTTTACTTTTTTACTTTACTCAACAGGTTTGTTGCATCGAAGAAAGTTTCGGGTGACAATGATGTATATTGAACAGTCAAAACTTAACGCTTTGATTAAATTATTTGATTGATAAGACGGTGGACTCTACATGTGTGCATAATTTAAACAGTTACATAATAATTACTTTATCCTGTTATAACAGTTTATTGGGAATCTCCAATGAGAACGAGATATAATTTATCAATCGACCCCATGACATCCACTATGCGTATCAATAATAAAAGGTGCTGAAATATTTTTTACTCATTAATTAAATTTACCCGAGATCGTTTTATCGTTCAGTTCAGATTATTTTTTTTATTTATCCAATGAAACTGTGGATAAAATGATTGATGGAGACTGACTAACAAACTGAAATAACATATAAAGCAGTTGTAGTTAAGTAATCTCAGTTATGGGAGGAGGGGCCAAAGTGGAAAAACTTCAAAGCAAGCAAATCGTGGTCAATCCAGTTGACAAACTGGTTGACCGTCGTAAGGGAATCCCGCGCTCTATTGCAATTTATTACTTTAAAACAAAACATATTATATGTCTATTGATTCTTTCAATTTCCATTGATAATATTAAAGGCATTGATCGAAGAATCGCTTTTATATTTTTAATTTATATTCTATAAACAAGTCAGTCGTTATTGAAAGTAAAACAAAAAGAATGCGTCGTTAACTGACACAAATATTCACGTATTCGATCATAAAAGAGTGAGACCTAGGGAAACTAGGTGAAAATCTTACATTGATTAGCTACTTCTGCGGCAATTTACAGTCTCGGTGGATTTCTCTCGTACTCCAACAATTTATAGCTTCCTGCTTGTAAAAACTCACATAAAAATAATATACGGCACGATAAACATATAAATTGGTTTATAAAAACCCGGTATATACTTATAACAGGAAAAAAAACGTTGTCAGGTGGGCGAAGCGTTTAATCATTCATGAATCATAGATGCGGAGGTACATCGCGGTACCAATAGCGGTCTCGCATAGCTCATTTTTGTGGTGCATCAGCATCATTTGATTGGTGAGAAGGAGGTTACACGGGCTCTTATTATTAATTTTAAAGAATCTAACAATTATATTTATAAAATGATTCTTTTTTATTTTGAGCGGAAATCTAGGCAATTTTAAGTAATGATTTAGGTTATGTATTATTTAAAACAAATTGCTAATTGGCAGTTTTGTCTGTGGAGGCTAATACGTTATACACCGGACCTTATCTGGCAAGCTACGGCAATTCGTATTCAACAAAAACATATCACTTGTCATCTTGATAACATCCGTTACATTTAGACCAGCATAGATAGATAATATCTAATCGAGGTAAATTATAACTACTAGGTCAATAAAACCTTTTAGCATTCGAAAGAAGTAGGCAATATCACACAATCACTCATTCACTCATTCACACAACTATTTTAAATTATATCATCGTCAGCGATATCATGTCATGTGAATACCAATAAAAATTTAAATAATATTTTACGATCATTTGTTAAGCGATTTGTGATATTTGCAATGTAGTGACCCAACCTGTTGGTGGGACTATTTATTACACTATTTTTAAGCTTATCTCAAGGCTGAAAATGTTGCTTCAATTTATCTTAGACCTCAGGAAGAGCAACAGTGTTGGCCTAGTGGCTTCAGCGTGCGACCTCATCCCTGAGGTCGTAGGTTCGATCCCCGGCTGTGCACCATTGAATTTAACATTCGCTCGTACGGTGAAGGAAAACATCGTGAGGAAACCGACATGTCTTAGACCTAAACAGTCGACGGCGTGTGTCAGGCACTGGAGGCTGATCACCTACTTGCCTATTAGATTGAAAAATGATCATGAAACAGATTCAGAAATCTGAGGCCCAGACCTAAAGAGGTTGTAGCGCCACTGATTTTTTTTTCAGGAAGAGCTACAGTGAACAAAAGTAGGCTTTTCTATTTTATGCATATGAAGTCAGGCTTACATACATTTTGTCTATTTATTTCTTGTCATTTCTTGTATTTATAAGATTTCATTAAGAAATAAAAGCAACAACATGTAAAGCTGATACGCGAGTGTTATATTATCTCTGCAGCGTGTTTGTCTATGTTGTAACAACTGAACTATAAGAATAGCGATAAGAATTAAATTATGTATCAGCAATTTTTCTTTTGTTCAAATTGTAGGCGTTTTACACCTAATTAAAAATTAAACGAAGGCTAGGGTCGTAGCTTCGGTTCAATATCGTGGGAAAAATAAACAATAATATCTTTGCGGATTTTAACTAGCTTTAATAAATTGTTAACGCTAATAAACTTCCTGAAAAGCCGTTTCCGTAACCACTCGTTAATCGGTTAAGTTGTTTTTTACGACTATCCAAACAAAGAGTTTTTATTTGGGATTTTTTCGATTTACGGTAACTTTATTTGTTTGAGTATCAAGTTGCCCAAGGAGCGAAAAATGTGTCGTAAATGTGACGCAGCTCGGTGAGGTTGTATGACTAAGGGCGTTTGATGAATGCGAAGGTAAGCTTAGGGGTTCGGGACTTTACTTTTGCCAGCAACACCTTTCTAACAGGAAATGTCTTTTTCATAACTGGGCAAGGAAACCGAAAATAAACTCATACAATTCTCTGTAATGTGTTTTCCTTATACTTTTAACCACGCTCTCTACATCCTACTCTTAAATATTATTAGATTAAATAACAATTGAAGGGAGGACAACCGCTCAAAAGATTTAAAGCAATTGGAAGATTTAGACGGAACATAAAAATGTTAAAAATGTATTGCTTTATTTGATTGCATTGATAATCTTTGTATTATAAAGTATTAGGGATGCTATTTTTAATGCCCCGAAGTGCTTATTCAAGCATTGCACGTAATGTCGCGGTTAAATGTTAGCTTTTATGTATAATTTGTATAAGTATCGTGCAATTGAACCACTTATAGGTATTATTATAAGGAAAATGTTTCTATGAATAACTCAATTTTACTCATGGCAGGAAAATTATTGGGTTTTCGACCTATATGGTTAAGTGCGTGTATTCGCAGCCTTATCTTGGTTAAATGAAAAATATTTTTCTTCAGGCTCCTTAGTACGCGACTGGTTTACTAAAATGAGGTGAAATTAGAGTATTTTTTTAGCAATATTCTTAGGAATTAGTTTAGTGTTTTAACTAAGCGCAACTAACCTAAAAGTACAAATAACAGTTATCTGATATAACACTCATGGAACTGTCACTATGCAGCTTTAATCTTTAATTCTTTTAACTTTATTCATTCGGCTTTTGTTTCTTAACAATAGATAATAATTTATGCGTTTTAATCCCGTAAAGTGCTTATTTGACATTTACACAGATTGACATTTGAATAATAATTGTGTCAAAATTGACCTCAGGACGCGGTTGTTGACCTTACTTAAAAGCTCAAATATGATTTTAAAAATAAGGATCGTTTTAAATAATGCTTACGTCAATAATTTCGTGTTGTTTCGTTTTAGACATAAATTAATTTACGCAGTTGGATGAATTGTAGGAGAGATAATGGTTTTATCCTATTTCGGGCAGCGGCCATTTAATTTATACATTGCTAGCTACTTAATAATAATAATAAAGCCCGTTTAATTTCCAATAATTTCCAATCATGACAAAAAAATAATAATGTATACAACACACAGCTTAGATTTTTCACATTATTTTTATCTTGGTTTCCTATATATCCTATACCTATAGCCTAGCTACCTCCAGTACCGCGTCGAGCGGAACCCCTTCACGGGTAAAGGCAATCTTTTCCAAATTCCAACTAACTCTGTCTATGGATTTCTTTCTCCATTCGCTTACTGCTACCGCTTCTAGTTCCTGCATTCACCTTTTTTTTGATCCGCCCTCTTCTCCTTCTGCCCCTTCTTGGTCCTTTCCATACAGCTGTTTTTCAGTCCACCTTTTATCTGTTTATCTTGCTATATGCCCCACCCATCGCCACTTCTGTTTTAAGGCATAATGTAAGGCTTATAATTGTATGTATTTTTCTTATTTTTAGTACGCTTGCCTTTGCGTTCTGGCATGCTAGTTTGGTTTTTATTTTTGTGTTGTAAGTCCACGTTTGGCAGCCGTTATGTGAGAGTAGGTAAGATACAAGTGTCCAAGATAATTTTGCTGCTGCTTAACAACTTAGTATCCATCGAGATAAGTTTATTTAGCTAAGCAAATAATTGCTAATTTTATGTTATTAGGTTTAATAACTATGTTTTGCGAATCGCGTAAAGTGAATAACCTACGGAGCGAATATTTATTTAATTTTCTTTAAGAAAATCACACGCGTTACATGTTTTTATTATTTTTAATTTAAACTGTAATTGAATAACCGTAACAGGTATTGATAATTTTTTATAAAATTAGAAGAACCCGACCCAAGCTGGATCTCACCGCTCTTGCTTTTATTTTTCAACCCAGAACCTCCTCTCTAAGCGCACTCGGTGAACCGGTCGGGTTTTTTAAATTAAATTTCAATAGTAATAATACAAGATTAGTTTGTGTATGTGTATTTAATGGCTTCAATTTAGCATTTGATATGGAAAACTGGTTATTGTTTAGATTTTGTAAAGGTGCTTCGCTTGTCTTTTAATGTATAATTATTTAATACTAAATGATAAAATTACTAAATTGAAACGACAAACTTAAGATATTAAATTATTTTTTATTTAACTTAACTTTTAAATATTTATATAACCTATCAAAACAATACGTTTTATTTATATTTTATTTTAAACCGAACTTGAGTGTGGAGATTCAACCCCTACAAATAAATATTATTTTAAAATTACTCTAAATATGATACTAAATAAATAAAAAACAAAATACCAAATCAAAGAATCCGACATCGTCATTCTTCTTCACTCCCATCTCGTAGGCTTGACCTTTTTGGTTCACGTATCTTTTGCTCTGACCTTTCATTATAAAACACTATGTCACTGGAGTTTTCGCGCTGCCCACGGACATGCAATCGAGCGAGACGCGATGTTGGCTCAGCGCGCGATTTGCAACTGCCATGTTTACCGTTGAAGTGCGAATTATAACTTAGGGAAACCCCTCGGATGCGTAATTTTTTGAATATTTTATTTCTTTGACGTCTGAGCAGCCTTTGTTTTACTAATACTTTCCGTTGGTGTCGTAGTTCTTGAAATAAAATATATACTCAATCGCCGAAACCACAGATCGCGGAAATACTTAGTTTACGACTTATGATTCAAAGTTCAATAATGACCTAAATCCTAATGTGTCATTCGTTCCAGGGTGCACCATTAGGTGCTTTAATAAAATCTCTGAATTAATCAATAAAAAACTGACCCATTGAAATGTTACTGAAATTCCCAAAACCACAAGATTTAAGTTAATTTCACTAAATAAAACATAATTGATGACACAGAACCATCTCTCATACACGACAATCACGGCTATCAGATATTATAACATAATGTTACCAATATGAATAAATTATATTTTGAGTTTTATTTCTATACCTAGGTTAGAAAAAAGTATAAATTCTCAATTCTATATTGATAAATAACTTTAACCTATTTGCATTCCGTGAAACAGTTAAATACTTAAACAATAAAACTCGGAAGCCTGAGTCATTTTGGCGCAGTTTGACATTGGGTAAATACATATAATGTGGTATGGTATCGTTAAAAATGTCAACAGTTCCTATGTAATACCAAAGATAAATAACGGAGAGTTATAGTCAACCTTAATATGAATATATATATAATAGATAAATGTTAGAAATGTTACCATAAAAATCTAAATTCTAAGCGATTATCTATTTTTAATTTAAAGACCGACTGATGTCGAACTCTCAGACTTCAAATCAACTACTAAACTCAATTTATTTTTAAATAAAAGTCTCTTCACGTTTATTGTCATTAAAAGCTGACATTAACAAATATTATAGTATTATGCTCAGTATGTACATTAAAATTTAGATGACATTAAAATATCGTATAATTTATACAAACTACCGAGGACGGATTCTTAAAAATCCAAATACGTCACGTTGACGTCATGAGGTGATACTTTCAAATAATTCTCAGATTAGCAAGTATTATACTGATGTGTCGAAACCCTTATAGGTGGTGAAATACTAATACATACATATATACAATAATTTATATGATAGATCATCCAATTAAGGAATAAAATAGGGCATAATATGCTGAATATACGTATGTTATATGTATATCGCAAACACCACTTCCGGAAGCTCTTATTTATTTACGTACTCGTCAGCTAAGAGGAGTTACTGCTGAGTAAAAGTCTTGCTTACGAGATCGTAAAAGCAATAAAGTAGACTTAAATATAAAATATGAAAAAGAAATCAAACTTAGATACTTATAAAAAAGAAAAAGAGTTACAAGTTTTACGTCCTAGTTTAAGTTTTAGTAAGTTAAGAAGAAAACGACAAACTGAGACAAAGAAAGAGGATATGATAATATAACTTATGTTCATTTACCTATCTACATCCACGCGGTATAAAAAAGATATAATGGTAAGGAGCAGAGAGTACACTTATAGTAAAATTATTTTACTCAGTAAATGTGGACAATCAATTTGGTTTTTAAAAGGAAAGTGAAGTCTAATAAATCAACCCGATTACAAAGTCGAGACATATGTCTGTACCTAAACGTACGTTTTAAGTTTATCACTATAGGCGTTTACAGACAAGACCAGAGAAACGAGCAAGGCGCTATGTACATATATTTAGTATTCTTTCCAGTCTTAGGGTGTGTGTCCGAAGCAGTTCTATGAGCTGCACTATCTAGCAGCACACCCAAGTCTTTGTGGATATTTACTTCTTGCAACGGGTATTGGTTAATATTACTCGTATACAAAGATGACACAATATATTTTATATGTTTTGGCGGAGTTATAATATAGGTTTATTTTTAACCGATTTTAACATAAAAAGAAAAAGTTTGTAACGTAAATATCAAATTATAGAAGATGATATAATTAAGGACTAGGCAACCGAGTTTATATTGTTCATTGCAAACAAATATAAACTCGCAGAAAATATTTTATTCTTCATCAACGGAATTATACCTTACACTAAAAAAAAAAATTTCACTATTCGTGTACAAATCTAACACTGGAACCTAATTCCCAAGAAAAACTTAATTTCTTTAGAAATTATTCAAAGATAGACTATGATTTATTAAGAAACATCTAATTGCAATTTAGCAATATTAATTAGAAATTTCTCGCATAATTTCATTGTTCTTAGGGCGGTGTCAGGAAGTTGATTTACATAATTAAACGGTGAGGAAGTGTTTTAAGGAAAATTTGTGACAATATTTTGTTTTCTAAGGACTACTGTCTAATCTGCATTAACTTACTGACGTTCATTGTGGTATTTTAACGATTAATTTCGTGGGCTGCACTTAGATTTTGTTTGCTTTTCTTAATCACCGGCCCTTAAGCCTTTTCTTATAAACGGACAAAGAAAAACATTAATAATTAATTGTTTTGTCAAATAAAAGTGGGAGAAAAAAGGTCAGTGATTTTTGATGTTAGTAGTCTTATGACATTATTAATAAGATTTCCTCTAAAAAGGGAAGGGAAATAATAATAATAAAATAATATTGTATTTTCATTTAGGTTTCAAAGCATCTTTCAAAACACTAGCAGCAGCGCTGGCAGCGTTGACAGCTCCCTCCAAAAACTTTGGTCCCTCATCTGCCAACGTCTTCATGAAAACATCAACATTCTTCTGCTGCTCTGTAGCGAGTTTGCTTATGGCCGCTTGGAATTTTGACAACTCCACATTTTTAACGTCAGCAACATCGGCAAATAGCTTACGTGCCTTTTCTTCTGTTACTTTCACGCCGTCGATGATTTTGGCTATAAATTTTAAGAAAAAATATTGGAACAAACTAATACAATGTAATTCACATTCTCTTCCAAATGCGAATATATTATAACAGTTGCAATTTAATAGACAATACGTTTAACCAAGACAAGCGTGTATCAAACCCGATATCACTTATCCATAAACTCCAACAATTACTAAAGAAATTCTTATTAAATAAATATATATGTATGTAAAATACTACATTTCTTTACATATTATTATTGCTTACAATTCTTCATCCATTTTATGAGATTATCAACACTGTTTTGACTGTCACTTTGTAATTTCTTAAAAGCGTCCTCCATCACAAAATAAAATTCGAAAAAACAATATTAAAAGGGTATAATAATTTCCTAAAATATTTTGGTTCGTTTTTTGTATTTGCGTTATAAAATTATTTAAAATCAAGTAGGAAATGTTGTTTACCTACATAAGTCAATATGAACTGTCATAGAAATCATTCTAAATCCAGAGACATCGAAGCATAGCATTATTAGCTGTGGTTCTTAACTATCAAAATGACGGATCTGTTGCAATGCGCACTGCGCAGCGCGGTATTTCAAAATTCATTTTGCATGTTCAATTGATTTTCCTTTTGAATAAAATTGCGTTAACTTTTCAAATACTACATATATCTAAACTCTTGAACGTTCAACCCACCACCTTTAAAAATGTGTTCATAAAAATTTTGTCTGTATAAAATGAAAGAAAGAAAGAAAGAAAAAACTTTATTATACACAATATACAAGATATTTAGATTAAGTAAAGTGCACTGGCCCCCACACTAGGATTCCCTGTGTTGTGAGCAGCCAGTATCTTCCTTTTGACAAGTAAATAGTACTTTAAAAATTAGATTAATCGTTTCTACACATTTATGTTTAAACTTTAAACTATTTTTGCACAATAAGAATATTTTTAGTATCAGAATAGGACAGGTTAACAAGATATTGTTTGAGATGTTTAGTAAATGTATGTAATGTGATTTTTGAAATATTGGTGATAATTTTGTTTTTAATGAAGTGGTTAAAGATGAAAGGGCCTCGGAAGGAGAAAAAGCGTTGGGCGAAGAAAGTGCGAGTTTTGGGCTGCTTATATTATATGGGTTTGCGTTTTGTTTGATGCGGTGCGGTGGGTGTTTGTTTCCAAAAAAGTCTGCATATTGCTATTAAGTATAATTGTCTCACAGTTAAAAGTTTTGTTTCATTGTACAATTTTGAAGTTGAGTAGCGGAAAGGTTTCTTATATGATATCTTAAGAATGACACGTTGGGTGCGCTAAATTTTCAGCATTGAGGACAATGCCGCTCCACCCCAAACCGATATGCAGTAAGATAATATCGACTGGAATAATGCAGTATACACTATCTTGATTGTATGTGGATCAGCAGGCTTTCTAAGGCTTTTGAAAACATTTATAAGTTTTAAGTTAAGTTAAGGGAACATAGGTATTTTATTTCAAGGCCCCAACAACGCCTTGAATCAATAATTAATCCCAGGTATTTGGTTGTTTTAGTGGGTACCAGAAGAGGACAGTTGCAGTTGCTGTGAAAGTTCAAAATGCAGAGTTCTAGCGCTACGTTACTTGTTTATAAGCAAGAAAAGCATTATAATGCTTTTAAAAGTGAATATAGAGTGGATTTATGGTGTGAATTTATGATACGATGGGGTCTCTATGGTGCTCTAGCAGCGGTGGCGATGGCAGTTCTGGCCCCAAAATATGGGGCTTCCGGAGGCAAATTTAAGCATGCACACGTAGTTTAACAAAATGCACAATCAAACGTGTAATAATCATTTTACTTCGTTTAACATAAGATTGATAAATAATTTGTCCGATTTCCTTAGAATACTTAAATGGATAAATGTCGCATCAAAACTCCTTATAAAAAAACCTTTTTTATTGTTTCCCAATTTCATCTAATTTCAAATTCACTTTCTTCCACATTCATTTCCTCTCTGTATTGCGATACTTATTCGTTGAGCGAGCAAAGCACCAGCTCTGGGGTCACCGGTACTATCTACCAGGCGCCAACTTAGATTTTTAATTATTTAATTGCCAAATTTAAATTTAAATCAACTTGTTAGGAAATAAATAAATATTTGAAATAAATTATTATGAAGATTTGTATTTTAGTTTTAGTACTACTAATTATGTTCAAAAAATCAGCTTAGCATCATAGTAGTGAAGAAACGGATAGAACATTATTTTATTTTAGACTGAGAAATAACATTAAAAGGCCGGCAACGCACTCGCGAGCCCTCTGGTATTGAGAGTGTCCATCGGCGGCGGTATCACTTTTTTTTTTTTTTAATATTATGGCAATAGTTTTCACTTTATGCCAGTTTCAAGTAAAAAGGCGGTATCACTTAACATCAGGTGAGCCTCCTGCCCGTTTGCCCCCCGTTCTATAAAAAAAAAAAAAACATTAAAACGTGCTTAAATAAAATGTATCATATTCGAATACAGGCAGTCCTCGTACTTACGTTAGGTTCTCGAAATACGCGACGTAAATCGAAACGACGTAAGTCGAGACATATTTTTTCGTATGTTTACATGGAAAACTCAATGCCTGCCTGTAAATATATTTTCATAAAAACGCACACACCCTTCCCCGCGCACCGCCATTACGGTCCGCGCGACGACGGAGATAGCATGCGCTGTAGTTTTTTCGTCACTCCTTATGGTAGCTGTACACACTCGGCGAGACACCCCGAGACAGGCCGAGGGCGAGAGTGTACAGTAGAGCTCTCGTCTCGCCTCGCTTCCTCGCAGTCGGTCTCGCCTCCCTCGGTCGCCTGTCGGTTTTTTGCGCACGAGTCAAAGGGTCTCGCGAGTAAAACGAGAGCGACCTGTACACACTCGTTCAATCACTTGCTCGATGACTGTGGTTGTGACAGGACGTATCGCACAATGTGGTCTAACGAACGCGAATTTTGGCTGGTATTGCTTCTCTCATAAGAGTATTCTTCTTAGTTATCAACGGAGCAACTTTTTGCAGTAAAAATTGAAAGTCGACTAAAGACATTCTTGTAAAATTATCAAATTGGCCAGAGGGTTCTGCCACTAGCTCTGCCAATTGATTTTCCATGGTGCTGCTGAAATAATGTACAAAATAAATGAATGACATACAAAAGGTAAAACATACATACATGTAGCAATTTACAATTTTGGATAATATTAAAACTTTATGAACCTAATTACCTATTTCTGTTGCGGTGCATAGTAACCATCCACCATCTTCTTCTTCGCCATGGCTTCGTAATTTTTTTTTTATGGTAAACGTGAAGAAAATTATAATAACTTATTGCACAAAGACAAACAGCAGCAGCGGTTTCCACGTCCATTATTAACGGTGTTTTAAATACAAATAACGCAACGAGTGTGTACAGGCTGCGCTCTTCTCTCGGTCCTCTCGGTCGAGACTCTCGGCGAGAGGCTCTCGCCGAGTGTGTACAGCCACCATTATAATTTTTAGTGTACTTTCGGAAGGAGATAAATAATACTGTATTTATATTGTAATACTTTGATACTAAACATTTTTAATGCTTGTATACTGTAGAATTTACGACAGAATACGTTACATACTATTATATATTATTCCATAATTAATTTTGGGGTAAAAAAAAAATCATCTAGTTTGATAGTTCCGCGCGAATAGGGCGCGAAATTGTAAACTATGAAAAGTATGTTTTATTTATAATAACTTGTTTTTACCTCGATAAAAGAGTTATGTATATACTGATATAATATCTAAACTTATTTATTAATTCAATTCGCGTTCGGTTCTCGTAGCATCCACACGCACTTTAAGTTGTTCTCGAACCGGTTCATATTGTTAGTGATGTGACACTGTCGATAAAATGGACAAATTCGTCACACGATCATCTTCAAATCCAGATCTGGCTAGTAATACCGCCAAAAGACCTGGGGATGATTTAAACCAGTGGAATTATCCAAAGAGGATTGCGGTTCCCAAGCGTATACCGAGAGACGCCACCACCTCAACAAGCAACCGCTACAGCAATCTCCCAGTGGATAAGAACCATGATATCTCAGAGCCTTTTAAAAAGGCCTCTAAAAAGAAGAAGACTGGACGTGTCCCACCAATCGTTATCGAACTACGTGAAGACTGGACACACCAGAACCTAAAGGACGTAATTGAGAAGTACAACAAAAGCTACCATCTTGAATACAAAGGTAGTAATCGAGTCAAAATACAATGTTACTCATCTGAGAGCCATCAACTCGTCAAAACTGGACTCCTCAATGAAAATGTGTCATTTCATACGTTCACCAGGAAGGATGAAAAAATGCCTAAAGTGGTTGTCAAAGGTCTTCCAACGAACGTGATCGATTGCCTACCAGCGGAACTGGAGTCCCTTGGCTTTGCTGGCGCCACTGCCACCCAAGTTAAGCTGAGCAAGCCAGTTCAATGCCCCCCGGTAATAATACAACTTCCCACAGGGACTGATATGGCAAAGTTCAAGCAAATAAAGTACCTGGCTAACTGCGTTGTTGTGATCGAGCGCTACAAAACTAGTAGCAATAACTGCACCCAGTGCTACCGATGCCAGGGTTTCGGTCATGCTTCCCGAAACTGTAATAGACCCGCTAGATGTGTCAAATGCTCTCTGGAGCATCCAACTTCACAGTGCCCCAAAAAGGGCTTCATAGAAACTGTTCGTTGCTGCAATTGTGGGCAAGATCACGCAGCAAATTACTCGCTGTGCAAGGAGCGGGTTAAGTACCTTGAACGTATCAAGACCAAGAGAGATTCGTTTCGCAACGCCATCGTGAAATCAACCCACGCGGCTACGAAGCAAAGCGTGCCCCTCCAAATGTTTCCCGTTCAGGCAGCAGTGGCTCCAAAGTGCCATGATTCTCAACCATTGCCAACGCGTGTATCTCTTAGGACTGCCCCACCGAGTGAGGACCGCACAAACACCCGCCAAGACACGACGACGAGTGAAATGCTTCAAATTCTTTCAACTATCAAAACCCTCAAGAAGGACTTCATAAAATGTGATACTTTCATGGACAAAGTAATCTTAATTCTGTCTCACCTTGGTCACTATGTTTAACCTCAATGAACTACGTGTATTTTATTGGAATGCCGATGGTATTCACAAAAAGCAGCAGGAACTAGCTGAACTGGCGGTAAGAGATCTCAACGTTGACATCATCGCACTCAACGAAACTAGATTAACAAAGCGGCTTACCCTTCAAATTCCAGGCTTTTCCTGCTATCGACTCGATGGCCGTGCCGATGGCTCTGGTCAGGGTGTTGCTATCTTGGTTAGGGCTGATT